TCTTGCTTCCTAATTGGCTACTCAGGTGGTGCTAGGAACTTCCCATGAAAGGAATGGCCTTCCCCTGTTCCTGGTTCCTAAAATCTAGTACTAAGAGATCCTCTATATGCACAAAGGTTTCACTTTACAGCTCTTAGCACAGCTATTATAAGCAGAACTTGGAGAAATTAGGGTTTTTTTGGGACACAACTCCCCAAATCCCATGGCAAACATGTTTTTTCTCCATTAGGGAGTGAGTCTAGGGTAGGGTTGCCAGATACATGAGTACTAAAGGGAGGACATAGAAAGACAAAAAGGAGGACAAAGGAGGACATATTGAATGTTTCATTTGAATCATTCCAGATTAAACTCACAATCAATACAATTTTATTACAATAGCTGCCAATAAATGTCTCTTAGTGAACCGACCAAGAAACAGTCATGTTAAAAATTAAAAATAAATTCAAGGGAGGCTTTTTTTTTTCAAAATACCGGGGGTGGGCAGGCAGGTGGGGGTGGGGAAAGCCAGGGGGAAGGGGGTCCTTCCACCTCTCCCCCTCCCATCCAAAATTATAACATAAAATATACAAAAGGTATATTTTAAAGGTTTTTATCTTTGCCTGCCTGACGGAGGACATTAGGCCAAAAAGGAGGACATGTCCTCCTTTTGCCTGACATCTGGCAACCCTAGTCTAGGGAAGGTTGCAAAATAGGGGAAAGTATGCCTGTGTGTTGCCACCACCGGATTAATACTATCTTTTTTTAGATTGTTTGTTACATACATATGCTTTCTTATCTCCAGTGAACTCAAAGCACTTTTAGTTGGCTCTCCTTGTCTCCACTTTATCTTCACAGCAGCCCTGTGAGGCAGGTGAGACTAAGAGAATGGGGCTGGTCCAAAGTCAGCCGGTGAGTTTCATGACAGAGTGGGGGATTCAAACCATGTCTCCTGTAGTTCTGCCATGATACCACAAGGCCAGCCTAGAAGATAAAAACTCTTATCTAGAAAGGTCAGACAGCCAGTGAAATTCTGGTTTGTGCCACACTTGCCACAATCCCAGCTTGTAACCCTCTGCACTGTCATCTGGCCCGACATGGCACAAGCCCGGCCAGAGTTATTTTTCACCACTTCCTGTTTTTAAAAGCAGCAAATTGATAGTCCAGAAGAGGGTGGTGTAGTAGAGACAGAGCCAAAGGCAGTGCCAGGTGACAGAGCTGTGGCTCTTTTCGTTGTAGCTTTATTTGCAACCTCACATGGTGCCTGTAGGTTGAAGGACTAGGAGGTTGGTTTCTGGGCTGGGGTGGCTGTCAATCTGTCTAGCACTTACCAATCATTCCCTTCCGCCTCTGAATGCAAAGAGAGTCCCGCTTCTCCACTGAGTGTTCCTTTCCCTCTCTTTAGTCTGTTGGAAGCAGTCTGTTTGTTTGTTTGTTTGCTGTTGAGCTGTTCACAACTGTAAGTAATGAAACATTAATACTTTCTCCTACAAATGTCTCAGAGTGAGTTATTGAGGCTTTACGTACCTGCTAATGAGAAAGGGGTGGAATATCTGGGGAACCTGAAGCTATTCTCCTCTGTGAATCCCTTCTTGGACTGTATAACAAAAGGAATTTTAACCAGAAACTCAAAACTCTGCAACACTTTCCACAGTTACAAACTTTGGGTACTGTTGTGCTGGAATGTATATTGTCCCCGACTTATTTAACTTATATGCAGAATACATCATGAGGAAGTCTGGACTGGAGGAATCCCAAACTGGAATTAAGATTGCCGGAATAAATATCAGCAACCTCCGATATGCAGATGATACCACTCTGATGGCAGAAAGTGAGATGGAATTAAAGAACCTTGTAATGAGGGTGAAAGAGGAGAGTGCAAAAAATGGCCTGAAACTCAACATCAAAAAAACTAAGATCATGACCCCTGGCCCCATCACGTCCTGGCAAATAGAAGGGGAAGATATGGAGGCAGTGACAGATTTTACTTTCTTGGGCTCCATAATCACTGCAGATGGAGACAACAGCCATGAAATTAAAAGACGCCTGATTCTTGGGAGGAAAGCGATGACAAACCTTGACAGCATCTTAAAAAGCAGAGACATCACCTTGCCGACAAAAGTCCGAATAGTCAAAGCTATGGTTTTTCCTGTAGTGGGCCATAAAGAAAGCAGACCGCCAAAGAATTGACGCCTTTGAATTGTGGCGCTGGAAGAGGCTCTTGAGAGTCCCCTGAACTGCAAGGAGAACAAACATATCAATTCTAAAGGAAATCAACCCTGAGTGCTCCCTGGAAGGACAGATCCTGAAGCTGAGGCTTCAGTACTTTGACCATCTCATGAGAAGAGAAGACTCCTTGGAAAAGACCTTGATGTTAGGAAAGGGTGACGGCAAGAGGAGAAGGGGACGACCGAAGATGAGATGGCTGGACAGTGTCTGCGAAGCCACCAACATGAATTTGACTCAACTCCGGGAGGCAGTGGAAGATAGGTGGGCCTGGCGTGCTCTGGTTCATGGGGTCACGAAGAGTCGGACATGACTAAATGACGACGACGTGCTGGAATGTTGGGCCGGCTGCCAACTTCCCCCTACTCTGGCAGACCTGTTTGCCACCCGCGTGCCACCTTGTTACTCAGGATTTCCTTGAAGCTCCCAACAATATCATAAAGTCCAAGGCAAGAAGAACCCAGCAAAATGGCAAGCAACAAGGTCAGTGCAATACTCTCATATTAGGGCAGCATTGGGCGATGGCGGGGACTGTGATTCTGACTTTTTAAGTGCACCGAGAAAACTGAGGATACTACAGAGCTTGTGAGTCCAGCCTGAGGGACTGTGACATGCTAGAAAGCTTGGCAAAGGCCTCTCCTAGGCCACTTGCTTCCTTCTGCTCTTTGAGGGATTTGCCTCAACAAAAGAGAGCCAAGATTGCGGGGAACCTTATCCCAGGAGACACGGCCTGGGCCGCCACCCACAGAGGGGCCTCCAGGCAGATACGCTTTCAATGATCACAAAGCAATTGGAGTGCCACAGGGACAGCAGGCTTGCATACCAATCCCAGAAGGTTACAAAAAAAGGAAGCAACAAATACCTGCAGGTGCACACACTCCACAGAGAATTGTTACAAACCCAGCAATCCACATTACTACCACCACCCTCACACCAGGGTCACTTCCAGGTACGGTCACGTGCATCATCTCACAGGAGCGTACACAAAATCTTGACACAAATCCATAACCAATTAAAAATATTTTAATGTAATTCTGATGCAGAGATTCACATACTGTACCAGCCTGCAAACACCCCCATATTTTGGTTCCCCGCTCCTTAATTTGTCTGGGTCTCTTCTTCTGGTCCAACCCTCCCCCTCCTCTCTCTCTCTCTCTCTCTCTCTTTCTCTCCTGCTGGGCATCCCCACCATGGGAAGGTATGCTCTAGTCCAAGAGATGGGAGGTGACCAATAAAGCCGCACCCCTGTTATCACACACCCAGGAGAAAACAGTGGCGTCACAACTGGCAGGCTTAAAAGTTTTTGCAAAGGGGGAGCACAGCAGGGATCAAGGGAGATGGATGGTGGCCGCGCAGGTAAGAGGAAGAACTCCAGGTTCTCCGATACATATCCTGAGACGGTCAGCTCCACAGCTGGTGAGTTTGGGGGACACCCCTGAACTACATATATATGGGGCTCCAGGAGGGTTTGAGCATCAAGGAGAGGGAAAGTAGAATGGGTAGCATGGAGTAAGTGGTGCAAGGAAGTGGTTTCCAACGGTGGCAAACCTAGCAGGGGGAACAGCATCCCCACATCAGGGGTTTCATAGGAAAACTAATGCCCACTTATCAGTGATATTTTCCCAATTCTGAGAGGGGCATGGGGGCTAATGGCTAAGTATCCATAAAAGCTGTTGGAAGACACTTGCAAGACATTCCTTGAGGGTTGGGCTTTAAACAGCTAGGCTTAGGCAAAATAGGTTTGAGTTCTGTACTGTGTTCCCCTGTTAAACCCAACATCCTGCATTTACTGTTGCATATAGTATTACTTACATTTTTCTTAACTTTTGGTAGAATATAGATAAGTAAGATTGACAGAGAGATAATAAGGACAGGAATCTTCCTCAGTTCCGTACCTAGCTGTCGAACAAGACTGGACCACACCTCTGGCTACTGCTTATGTTTTTTCATCAGCTCCCTTTACCCCTTTACCATTCCAAACTGATCCTAAGTCTATTGTTGACCCTTGAGACCTTTCAGACAAAATTAAATGCCACCAGTAGACGGCACCCTAACATTTAAGCATTCCTGTATAATACTGCCCCATCCTCACCCCCCCCCCCAAAAAGACAGTGGAAGTTGGGAGTGATCTTTGTAGGGCTCTTTCTGTTCCCATTGGCTTAGGTCTTTCATGAACTATGGGAAAGCAGGGATAACCAACTTAACTCCTCCCAGGTTTCCTACCTTGTTCTAACTTTGTTTAGTGAGGGGTTGTTGTTGTGTTTTTTGGCTCCCCTTGCTACCTTCTGAACATACTCATGGAACCGGGTGGAGATAAATTAATTTTCCACACCAGAGCCTCGAAGGAGCCAGAGGAAACTGCTCAGACACAGGAGACTGAAACAGGCTCCCAGGGGACATGCAATCCCCCTGGGGCAGGTTCTCCCCCAAATAATGGGAGGCACACACATTAATGAGGAAGCCATTTGGCTCAGATCCTGGGGGCTCAAGTTCCTCCACAATGGGGTCCCAAAGTAATTAGTTTTTCAGGTGACTCCATTGTGCTCCCCTTGCTCTCACGATCTCAGGTTCTCCCGGAGAGTGGGGGCCAGAGCATCATGTTCCCCACAGTTAATCCTAGGGATTGTCATGGGAAAGGGTCTGGTGTGAGGGGAAGAGATAAAGAAGAAAATATTGTTGTCTTCTTGGGGCTCCATTAGTGGTATGGGAGAAACAGCTCGTATTCTACACAATATATATTTAAAAGGGACAAATAATACATAGAAGAGCAGTGGAGGTGTAGGGGGACTCCAAAATACCTTATTGCTCTCTCTTCCACCTCCTGCTGCTTTGCTCCAGAGACCCACAAGCTTCTTCTTCCCCTCACAGGATTCTGAAGCACATGTTTACCTCACAAACATACACAGGGAACCTTTGGTGTAGAAGAGGAAGGAGCTCTGAACATACTGATGCAGAAAAGTGGTTCTCAAACTTGGGGCCTCAGATGTTCTTGGCCTGCAACTCCCAGACATTCTGGCCAGCACAGCAAGTGGTGAAGGCTCCTGGGAATTGCAGTCCAAGGGGGCAGTTTGAGAACCACTGCTAAAATCTCAAGCATGCCACCAGCCACATCTGCTCCTGTCGCCTTACATCACAGAGGCAACTGTTACACGTACTAGTTTATGCAAAGCGATGGAGCAAGAAGTTTGGGAGATTATGGGAGAGTGGCATCAAAGCCTGGAAGTAACTAGCAGTTTCTTGTAATTCTTTTCTTTTGCAGTAATGAAGCAGTTTTTTGATTTTTTGCAGAATCAGACAGAGAAATAGCTGGTGCTTTGGACCACTTGTGGCAAGGTCTGGGTGCAAGCTAATTGTCTGGGCTTAATTTACATATTTCATACACAAGACTCATTTTATCTCAACATATATTTTTCCTAAAGTACACACAGAGTACTTGACAGGGCTTTCCTGATTGTTTCATAGAAGGAAGCAGCCTCTTCGGTTGCTAAATAACTGGCTGGAGGCACAGAATAGTGGGAAGGTGCTGGAGGACAGAGCTGGAAAGAGAGAGATGTGTGCAAAGCTGCCTGCCTTGTGACACATAAGCTCCAGATGGCCCAGAAGAGGCAGTCACTACTGGTGGAGTAAGATTCAATCGCCACTCCAGTCTGCTGCTCTAAGTGAAATGGGGTGCAGGGGTATGAGGTGCCACCTTGTCCTTTGCCTCCGATGGCAAAATCTCTCAGCCCAGCTCTCTTATTTGTCATCACGTAACAGTGACGTGGTGGCGCTGTGCGTTAAACTGCAGAAGCCTCTGTGCTGCAAGGTCAGAAGACCTGCAGCCATAAGATTGAATCCATGTGTCGCTTGTGCCAGCTCCCACCAACCTAGCGGTTTGAAAGCATGCAAAAAATGCAAAATGCAAGTAGATAAATAGGTCCCACCACGGTGGGAAGGTAACGGCATTCCATGTCTAGTCGCGCTGGCCATGTGACCACAGAAGATTGTCTTCGGACAAACGCTAGCTCTGTGGGTTGGAAACAGAGATGAGCATGGTGCCCTAGGGTCAGACACGACTGGACAAATTGTCAAGGGGAATCTTTACCTTTACCAGTCTTAAAACATTAACAGGACCATCTGAGATGCAAGGCAGAGGAGTAAAATTGGGGTTGGGGGAGGAGCATTGGCTGAGGTTATAGCAATGTCCAGGACTGATCACTGTTGGATCAAAAGGAAGAGGTATAATAATAATAACAACAACAACAACAAATAATAATAATAATATAATTTATTGTCATTGTAAGTATATACACAGTATACCATACAACGAAATTCACAGACACCCAGAGACCAGACACATGCACACACATAACATTCCCCAAACACTCCCCACCCACTAGAAGTCCCCCACTAAAAATACAAACATCTACACCTCAGGCCAAGTAACACAGTCCAACTAATTATTCACTACTGGTGGTCTTTAAGCTCATTATTAATTGCAATTATAGCTCTATCAGTAGATTTACTAATTTTCTTTTAGATGTTGAAGTTTCATTCTATAAGAAGTTCCCCAATATGACTGGACTAGCAGGGGGTGCACTGCTGTCTCCCACGGCCTCAGCCTCCCTGCACACAGCTGCCACCCCAGCCCGTCGACGTCACCGGACTACCTTCAGTCAAGATCAGCTAGACCAACTGGAGACAGCGTTTGCCAAAAATCATTACCCTGATATTTACTGCCGCGAGGAACTGGCCAGGGCTACCAAACTCAATGAAGCTCGCATCCAGGTACCTATTCCATAGTGGCTAGAGAACATGTGGGCAATGCTGCTTTGGACATGTCACTGTGTCCCAGGGTGGACTGTGTGGGGCACTCCAGGTGTTGTTGAACTGCAGGACTTCTCATCCCTCATGACCACAAGACCTCACCCACCCCCACCCAATGTATGGTGCCACCAAAACAGCAACCAAACCCCTTCAATTGAATTTGGGCATTGGCATTTGGCTTGTAATAGGGATATCTTCAGGCAAACAGCTCGTGTTTCCTTTCCACAGCAACTTAAATACAGCCACAGCCAACAGTGAATTTATATTGCCCTTTCTAAAAGAGTGAGAACACTGTTGGTGAAATGCACAGAACCTATGTTATTTTGGTGACATAAACCTGAATGCATGCCACAGCACTGGCCAGTTGTACACATAGATAATATCTTGTGATTGCTAATTTTAAAAATAATAACAAACAGAATTTGTAAAGCAAAAAAAATTTGTTTTTTTTTTTTAAAGTTTCAATATTAAAATTTGCCAAGTTCTTCTCATGCAGCTGAAATCTCATTTACTGCACTTTAATTTTCTTGCCTTAGATACAAAGATTGTATCCACTGGATCGGTATTTGTGGGTTTCACTTATCCTGTTTGTTGCAGCCCTATTTAAAACATACAAGGAAGTCCTTTGTCCTACCTCCTTGTAAGTTTTCTATGTAGGGTTTGCAGCTATTTAGAGTTTCAGGCATCCATGGTAGATCGTAGAACCAATCCCCACAGCTACAGGGCTTCTATTGTATATATGGATGCTTGCTTTTACACAAGTTCCAACAAAAGACCTTATGGCCAAAATCCAGTCTTACCATTCCCTTCTTCGGGGGGGGGGGGCTGGGGCTGTGTAACTTGCCCAAGGTCACAAAGGCCAGCTTTTCTCCTCTGAGACACAGTGGTAAGTCAGACTTCCAAGCCAAGTGGTGCTCTAGCTCAAAGAGCTATCAGGCCATTTACTTCTACCTAACAGTTCAATATAAGTGTTTTAATATGTATTTACTTCTGCATGCAAAGCTGAGGCACTTCCAAATATAGCGAGGACTTAGAGGGAACATCTCTTTGGACCTACTGTCAACTTATAACTACTCCCACTGATTACAAAACATGAACTAAAGAATCATGTGAGTGTGCAAAATCAAGGTGATTGTTCAGAATGTCTATTTAGGGCTTTAGGTCTCCCCAAACTTCACTTTTATCTAATTTTAAGCAATTGCTTTCTCAGTATTTATTTCTTTTGTTAGCTGCATATGTGGTTCCTACTATTACTTTTACAGATTTAAAAAACTGAGATGAATATAATTTGTCTGCCCCAAATGTACTTCCTACTCCTAGCAGTTGGTTTACCTTCTAAGGATACCTCAGCTTCTGCCTGAGCGCTTAAGAGATGGCCAATGTGCATATTATTATTATCAGGGACAATTTGACATTACTATAGAACCAATGCAGTCAGGATACTTTAGCCTGGGCACACAATTCACAATATGTGCTTTGTCTATCTGTCTCCTGACAGGTTTGGTTCCAGAATCGGCGGGCAAAGCAAAGGAAGCAAGAGCGGGCCCTGCCCAAACCAGGCACAGCGGGTGTCCTCTCCGTCTGTCCCTTACCTGCACCCTCATCGCGACCATATCAATATCCCCCCACCCTTGGGTCGCACCCTCACCTACCACGTTACCCTGCTTCCACTTACACCCTGCCACCTCCAGCTTCCTCTGCCACTGCCCAGTTCCCTTGTCCCATCCCCCACCACCCTCAAGCCTCCCGCGCCCATGAAGATTGGTACACCCCACTGCGCTCTATGGGCTCCCCGACGGTTGCACCGGCACCCTCCATGATCTCTCTGAGTCTTGATCCCAGCACTCACTGGAACTGAGAATTCAGTTGAATACAACTCAGCCACCTGTAGGGTATGTTATTTGAGCATAGATGTACAGCGTTGGGGTTCATTTACTCTACTGGTGAATAAAAAAGCACCTCTACAGCCAGCCAGGATATCAGGCAGTCAGTGGTGCTGTGTGGGCTTGACTTGCCCAGTGCTGAAGAGTAACTACTTTGAGGCAAGGGCATCTGAGGTAAACATTTCCCAGAGCTTTCCAGAGTTGGCAAGCAATTGTTTTTCCAAACTCTGCCTTTGAGGGAAGAACACACAAAGAGACTACAGTTCCTACCATCTCCCAGCCAGCATAGTCTACTATCTCGGAGATTGTGGGACTTGTAGTCCAAACATGCCCCCATCCCCAGTTTTGCTGAAGAGCACCTGCCAAGTAAAGCCTTAGCTACATTTATAGCAGTCTCCATGGCAACTTTTCTGCTGAGGAATATCCTGTGCACTTGCCACAGAAGCTTCTCTGACAATTGTAAAGTACTGTATACATTATTATTCATACAGACTCTGTGGACAAGTTTGGGAAGCCGTACCTTCATCTCACATGAACAACATGACTTGTAGCCTAGAATAAGCTCTAAATACCATGGACATTGAAGTAGAAGATTTTTAATGGTAGACAACCTGTTTTCAGGAAAGCATATTCATCATCTTCCAGCTGAGGAGCCCCTGATAAAATTCCTTGGGGATTCCTAGCAGGAGGATTTCTCATTGTTGTTAGTGTCAGGTCTCACCTCAGTGGACATAGAATTGTCTTCCTCCATTTCCACAGACAAAGGGATGTCAATTGTTCAGTGAATCAATTATCCCTCACCTTTTGTAGAAGCATATGGCTTTCACTTTAGATGAGAGAAAAAGCACACTGAAATATGGGAATCCCCATTTCAGAAAAACTAGAAATTAAATGTGATGTCACACTAAGGAACATGAAATGTTTAAAGAGTCAATTGGAGCCATTTCTCCTATTAAGCTTTACAATGCCCCACTTTTTTATGAGGCCCGACAGAACATGAAACGTCATCTGTTTTTAACATTTTAGTGGTCTAATAAAGATATTTCTGACCCTTCTTTTTGGCTCTAGTAGTGACATGTACTTATTTTGGAATTAATGTTTGTAAAGCACAGCCCAACTTTTACTTCGTATTATGGCTGCTGTAAAAATCTCTAGCTATTCAGTTTTCCCTAGTGAGGTGTACAGTACTCCAAACGGGCTGAAGCACAACCCCCATCATCCCATCCATCAAAGATCATGCTGGGTGATGTGGAAAAGGATGGGAGGTGTAGTCCAAATACATCTGGAGTTCAGTGGGTAGGACGAGGCCATGCTGTTTTTCAGCTCCATGCATTCCTCCACTGTGAAAATGATTAGGACTGAGCAATGAAGGTGCTTTTTTACCCTTCAGCATTTCCTAAATAAGATTAGGTATGCTTGTATGCTGGCAGGACAGGCAAAGTATGGTAACAGTCTTCCATCTGAAGGTGATCCTCTCCCTTTCCCCCAGTTACATAATTCTAGGGATACTCTTTTGTCTGACTACACAGTACATTTTTTTTTTTGCTCTAAAGTAACCTATCCGACACTGGTTTCTGGAACAGTGAATTGAAGTAAAAGGAATAAAAAGTTCCATAACACTTTATAGACTAACCCATCTGCTGTACTGTGAGCTTTCATGGACAATCAGCCACTTCATCAAATATCTGAAATATTATTCAAAATTTCAGACCCAAAAGATGATGGGACTTTAAACATAAGGGAGAAAAGCAGACTGTACCAACAGTGACCATTACCTTACCAGCCTGCCAATTGTTGGTGATAACACAAACATCCTGGCATAAAATTTCCAAATTAACAACAGCAGTTTTCATGTTTGTTTTTTTAACTGCTTAACAATATTTAACAGAAACCTTAACGAGATAGTGGATCTGACTGTTCTCAAGGCAACCCAACTGGAACAGAAATATCCCCTGTGGTGTCAGTGAGAACTATTATCCAGTCTTGGGAGTGGAAGGAAAAACAAACAGAACCCTAGAATTCTTGTCTGTGCATATGAGTGCACATCCACACACATCTGTCCACAAACATAAGGTATTTTTAAAGAGAGAATTCTTTGGGGGAGTTGGAGGGCTATGCACAGCAGCATCATTTTGCAAAGACATCTGAAAAGCAAAATAAGAGCAGTATTTTGCTGGGGCAGTTATGAGAAAAATAATGACTTGTGTCTTTTACATGGTGACTACTGGAATGGCTGCATTTCGATGCAAGTGTTCAAGAAAAGCTGCACACAAACACATGACAATAGTGCATAGTGTACAACCTGCCATTTTATATATTTTCATGTTTAAGTCAGATGGAATGGAGATGGGCATCAACTGGAAAACTGATGGTTCATGGCTACTCAAACCATCAATACCCTCCAAAAAACAAACCATTTTGCGGTTTGTTTTTCAGGTTTGAGATGGGAAGGACTGATCAACCAACTGCCCCATTTCCAGTGCTCCCGTTGCCTCCCACTGCACATGCATCCACTGACAAACGTGCACATGCACAAAGGCAGCGGGCCCGAATCCTGGGAAGCCACTGTTTCTGATGATGGCAATGGAGGAGACAGCAGTGGTGGCAGGATCATGTAGGAAGGGAACAGGAGCAGTGGGAAGGGGGCAGGTGGGACAGCATCCGTTTTGCCAAAGCAAAACAAAGTGGTGAGGGGGAGAAAGTTTGGCACTTCATTTTGCTTGGCAAAACAGGATCCCTGAACCGGATTGTGAACTGAACCATGAACCAGCCCAACTGGTCAATTTTTCTGGCTTGTACCCATCTCTAATTTGGAACCGTCTGTGACAAGTGCTGCATAGTTTCCCTATTTTTCTATGCAAAGGAAATATTTTTCAAAAATGGTATACCACAGGCTACTGCAGCTTAAAATGGGGGATAGCATTATGATATGAGGTCTCAGTATGTCCCAAAGGAATGACGATAGCATTTTAAAATTGCTTCTGTTACTGTTCACTACTGCAAAATCATTTTAGTAGTTCAGTCCTTTGCTACTTTTTAATGCAGTGGGCAGGAACTTAAAATCAAGAAAGTGATGCTTACTTGGAAAAAAAATTATGCTCAGAAATGTCTCTAAACACCATTTAAAAACAAATGATAGTCAGAATGTGATACAGTATTTCTCAGGCACAAAGCCTAGCACACCCACTAGTTATGCCACCTTTGAAATGCAATATGAGTACCTAGTATTGCACAGTATACAGTTGTCATGTCCAGAAGTCTCTTCTTACAGATGTTTGTGTTCTTATTTACTCATTACTTTCAAGTATAGTCTAGTGTAAGAATAATGGATATTATTAATGTTGACATTAATGATTATATTCTAGGTCACTCTTTGTTGAATCTGGAAGAGTTCCGAGGCAAGTTCATGCACTTTATTTTCAGGTAAACAAAACTCAGTGAAACTTATTTCCGTAAAAAAAACACCACATAGCAGTCGTGCATAACCACAACAAAAAAACAAGGCAAAAACAAAGACTTCAAGCACCTTTAAGACTAGCAGATTTATTTTACATGAGCAGCAAGGGTGCTCGTTTGTCCTGGACTACAAGCCACTTCCTCAGACACATCCAAACACTGAAAGAGTACAGGGTCAAATTCCTCCCAGAACTACAGTCCTGAACTCAGTGAAACAAATGGTATCTGATGCAGGGGAACAAATTTCAAATAAAACCCACAAAGAGGAAGGGGAGCATCTGACAGGAAACAACCAGGGTTCCAGCCTCCCAAAGATGACATGTCGTAAACCAAACCCCTTACTGGTAAGGGGTTGGAACAAAAAATGTATCCCAGATGTTAACAAATTTAATTACAGGAGCTTAGAAAAACTCGTTACCAATTGTAATAGTTTTGCAGAACTTCACTCTCCATTCACAGGAAGTCACATCTCTCCCATAAAGGGCGAGAAATGGAAATAGGCAGGAATTAATTCAAGAGATCAGATAATAATACAAGCATACATGTGCAGGGTGGATATAGGTCAATGTTTTTTAAAAAAAGATTTAAATAACAATTTAATGTGGTTTAAATTGAGTTTTACTCCCCCTGCATATATGTATGCTTTTATTATGATTGCATCACAATTTAATTTAAAAAACATTATAAAAATATGAATAATAAAAAAAATACAATTTTTGAAATTCAAGTCGTCATTTAAATAAAGTTGATTTAAATCAAATCCACCCTGCTTACTGTACTCATAAATAATTCATTGTTCCAAGAGGTTTATTCTCTGTTAGCTATGAACCTACATTTTATAAGGCCTATTTTAGAGTAATCTACCTAAGAACCTGAGGGTTGGAAGGGATCCCCTATCAAGGAAGTAAAGCAGGAGGCATCAAACTCCCAATCTCCTACCACTGAGCTATCCATCAGTCCTGACTTTGGGTATGGCCTGAATCCAACTGGTCCCAGGCAGAGAATGCCCACTGAATAAGGTGCTTTACACACGTGCTGATTCTCTGTTTGGTAGTCACAGCAACAGCAGATTTGTTTTAAATTTTGAAGCCAAATTCAACTACAGGCTGAGATTTCATCTTCTACAATCTTCCTCTATATGGCTTAATGAAGATAGACACTGGCAGAGGCTTCCTTTTCTTAGTGTTTTGAATCAATCCCGTGAGAGAGACACTTACAAGCATGAAATAAATTGAATAAAGATAACACTCCACAGCTGTTTTCTCATTCTCTTGCAAAAACCTTAAGCTGTTTAGGAAGCAAACTGCTTTATTTGACAACATCCGTTCGCTCTTAAAACGAAACGAACAAAACACTTCTGCAAAATGCCTACATTTCACTTCTCCTCGGGTTCCTTCTTATACTGACCAAAACTAAATACAGTACTTTCCCCTTGCAATTTCGCCCACCCTTTCTTTTTCAACAAGCAAGGGACTCCTCTCGTGTAAAAGATCCGAGTATTTCAAACCATTAATTAATGAAAAGGTTTTTTTTAAAAAAAGAAAGAAAATTCCTCCCCCTTCTCGAGTCGCACATGGAGGAAGCCAATAGGAACAGGAAGTAACGGCTATAAGGAAGTGTGTGTGTGTTTGTGTGTGTGTGTTTTTTTTAAATGACGCTCTCTTTGTCCTAAAGGGGTGAATTCCTAAAGAGTGAATCAAGGCCCACGAGGGTACACACGTTCATGGAGGGAGAAAGTTGGGAACAATTATTGCCCGGATGTCCCACCAGCCTCTTCAGGCCCCGGCAATTGCAACGAACCGTTTTCTCTGCACGACGCATGCGTATTCCCCCCTGCTCATAGAAAGGCGCTGCGATGTCACGTGATCCTACCATGGGCGGGCCTCTATATAAGCGTTGCGCGGGCGGCGCCTCGGCCGCATTTTCTGTCGCTCCACAGACTGAGCTGTGTTTCTGTGAGTACTTAGTCTTTGGGGTGTGTTTGTTTAATTGCGAAGGTGGAGGGGCTTTTCTATGAAAGATAAGGATAGCCGGGGATCTAAATGTGGCGCAACGCAAGGACAAGGAGGGCGGAGTGCCTTCGGGAGCGGGCTTTTGTGGCTCGCCAAGAGTTTGCGCATGCGGTGAAGTTGTGAGTTCCTCGAGCTGCGTGAGGCAACGGCGGAGTGGCGCAGTACGCATGCGTGTCGGGGTGGCTGTATTGGCGACCGTGGGGGAAGAGAAGTGAAAACACTGGGTAGGGGGGCGGGATGGGGGCAGGGAATTGGGAACGGGGGTCTGGTCAGAACTCGGGCCCGTTGGGCGCGAGGCCCGGGAGCAGGCAGGGCCGCCATTTTTGGCTGTGTAAATGCCTGTCTTGCCTGAACGAGGGAGAGGACAAGATGGCGCTTGAGGCGGGGCCACGGAGGCTGGCCTTGAGGCCGGAAAGAAGACGCGCGCCGTCCTTTTCCCTCGCCGCCCTCACTCAACGCTGTTCTCTCCCCGGGGGTATAAGAACGGTTTCCTTGCTGGCTGCAACGGAAAGAGCATCCGAAGGCAAGCCTCCTGTAAAGTAATCAGGACCAGAGTTTGTAGGTTGCAAAAAAACTCTTCTTTTTTGGAAACGAAGAAGAGTAATCTTGGGCTTATGAAGCTTGGAGGTAGTTTCATTCTTTTTCTTGGGACAGCAAGCTAAGAAGAAATAGAGCTGAAGTACTTTCTTTGAGTGGTGTTTATAAGAGGTTCAGCCTGTGCAGTGGCTGAGAAACAGCTATAAAAACGTGGTTTGCTTTGTTTGGGGAAGGTTTGGTGTCAGAAGAATTTTAGTGCATTAAAATTCTGCTTCATGGAAAAAGTGTAGAAATCATTTGAGGGTATGCTGCCTTGAATTTGATATTTGAGACTATATACAAATGGACTGTACATCACAAAGGTTTTCTGTTTGTGTTTGATTCTGACCCATAAAATTCTTTTTTTTTTCTTTGCCTGTTCAGACTTGTTACCATCATCATGTCTTCTGAAGAAGGAAAACTCTTCGTTGGAGGTCTGAATTTTGATACTGATGAACAAGCCCTGGAGCAGCATTTCAGTTCTTTTGGTCCCATTTCTGAAGGTAAGTTTGTTTTGGCTAGCTGAGGCTTGGGAGTTGGAGTCAGAAATTCTGTCAACCCATTGAATAACTTTTATTTTCATTTGTCTTAGTTGTTGTAATCAAGGACAAAGAAACACAGAGATCAAGAGGCTTTGGCTTTATCACCTTTGCAAATCCAGAGAATGCTTCTGATGCCATGAGAGCCATGAATGGAGAAGTCAGTACTTCTAAAATAGTTTCCAGTTTGTGGAATGTTGTGTATTGTATGTTTTGCATGCTTTTACAGTATGAAAGACAAAACAGTAAAGTCTTAGTGAAACTCTAAGAAGAGGGTAGATGGATTTTGCAAGGTATGCATATGTCATCTAACTATACATGTGCTCACTGGGCTTGCCTTCTATCATTAAGACTTGAGTGACAAAAGTCTGCTTTTTTTGTGCCACCAGCCTTACTCTTCATTGTTGAAGAGACACAGATTAATAAAAGACAGACCTGGTATGAGGCACGCTAGATGCTCCTGACTTGCATGCATCTTCTGAAACAGTACATTAATCTCTTCAGGCTGCAACTTGCTTTGGAGAGCAGTTGCCAGATCCCTGGAATACTGACAAACAACGAAGTTGCTGCAACTGATTGATGAGGTGGTGAGTCCAAAATCAGGCTCATTGCTGACACGTGCAGGTAGCATCTCATCAGTTAGCTCTGGTAACTTGTGTGGTTTCTTTTTCTGCTCGCACGAAAACCCATTTGGACTCCATTCACTATATTAAACGCAAGCTCAGGTAATAATAAATTTTCTTTGCCAGGAATCTCAGAGTGGCTGTTGTCTTTAATTCAGGGGCTGGTTTGAAGGAAGATAATCCTTGAGCTTGTATATAACTGCTTACCCTCCCCCCAAAATACAGCCTTAAATGCAGAGAGGCTTTGTACCTGAAGCTCAAATATCAAATATTTCTAACTAGTTAATTAGCTCAGATTTTCTTTTTGTTGAAGGTGGTGTAGTTGTTTTGATTCTGGATTGAGGGGATATCATTTTGAATGTTTTAAAAATTTATTCTGTAGTCCTAAAGGGATTTTAAAGCAGCTTATTACAACCGTCTTTAAAGTTTATTGAGTAATACTATATGGTTTTCAAGTAATCTGACCTACATCAAAGTGGTAATGAATTGATCATTCAAAACAAAGTACCTCAGAAATCAGTCCATTGAGCTCCATTGTACTTCGTTAATTTGCTGAAACCTGTTAATTAGCCAAAACTGTGTTTTCAGTTGGAAAATGTCTAATGTTATGCATATGTAGATTCATGCCAATACTACATTGAACAACTGATCTATTTACACAACTGTCAGGTTAATTGAAATACTTGTTCACTATCAGTCTGTAGATGGGCGGCAGATCAGAGTTGATCATGCAGGGAAATCTTCCCGTGGATCCAGAGGAGGGTACTTCGGAGGCAGGGGGAGAGGCCGTGGTTATTCTCGAGGTGAGCGTAAAGAAATGATGGGATTAAATTCACTGGACTAATTGAGAAAAGTGGGTTGCTGCTGCTGTTCAACAGCTAATGAATCATGGCGTCCTACTGCAGGTGGTGGAGACAGAAGCTATGGTGGACGCTATGACAACCGAAGTGGAGGTTACAGTAGTTCCCGGGACTACGGGAGGTAATGGTGCTGCATTGTTACCTTCTGCTTTACATTACTATTTGAGTGAATAGATGTAAAATACAACTACTTTGCTTTCAGAAGTCAGGGAGGCTATAATGACCGCTACTCTTCAGGAGGATCTTACAGAGACAACTATGATAACTGAGGTAAGTGAGTCTTGGACTGAAAATTCTGCCTTGTTAAAGCACATTTAAACCTTCAGTTTCTAACTTACACTTGCTAGCAGCAGAAACTGCAGCTCCCTACTGAGTTGTTAGACATTGTGAAACAACCATCATTTCATTGATTCAATTGAAAGTATTGCAGCCTTCAGTTACATTTCTGCTAAGTAACTTAATTGCATGTTGGACCTTAAAGATCTCGTAATTTCAAATTGCAAAACTGTCAACAGTGCTAACTGGGGGAGGGCCTGAGATTCCTAGGAAAACTAATCTAAAAAGTCTAGGAGTGGTGAATTGCAAATGCAAGATGTCCATATGCTTGTGCCTTTATTATTGTACCTGCTTCTTGTCCTCAGCTCACACCGAGTAAAAATCCTTCCTGAATCAAGATCGTCCTTCCAATGGCCGTATTTATAAAGATTTTTGGAGCTTCGCTGAATCTTGTTTAGTTTACCTACTTGTATCTTCCCCTATATAGCTTTTGTCACATGCAGTCTGAAAGCTTCCTCTGCAAGATGGTCTGTTTAGACATTGCTCGAGAGTTGATTTTTTCAAAGGTGGTTTTTAAGCATTTTTGAAATCCAGTTTTATTTGTCTTGCCTTTTCAATCTAAGGTTTCTTTTAACTTGTCACATGAGGCCCAGCAGCATAAAAGCGATGGAAGCAGAGAACTTACCTTTTTTGGAAAAAAGCAAAACAGTTCTCAAAGTTCAGTCCTTGGTATAGCAAGGGGATGTGACAAAGGCACACTACCTTGGTATTACTACAAAGTTAAATGATTCACATTGGCAATTAGTGAAAGCTATTTTACTGTAAAGTAAACCTAGAATTCAAAACGTTTGAGAGGTTCTTGAAAATGTTTGTTTATATTGTCCTTTTTTTACTGGAAGAAACGTGCATAATTCTCATTGTATTTGAAGTGGATAAGGAAGTTCCTGTACTGAGTTATTGGCTTTACGAAGCCCATTAAAATCCCATCTGAAACAATCTCTTCTCTTGACGTTTGACATCACGTTGCACCACACAACCTGAATAGCTTACTGACAAGTAAGCAAAAGCATGTTGGCATCATTTTGGGTAAAGCCCAGGGTTTATGCTCAAGTAGTAGGACTGCTATACACCAGTTCTTCTAAAAGATGTTTAGAGAAAACAATAGGATAATGTGGCAGGCAATCTGAGGCAGATCAATAAGAAACATATATCTGCTCCTCTGTAAAATATTTCAGAGAATTTTAAAGAGCATGGGTTAACACCATAATTTGTATAAGTATCTTATGTTATCAAAAAGTCATTCTAAATGGATACTGTTAAATGTGATTCACAACAGCATGAATACTTCTGATTCCCCATAGTATTTTTAATGGCATTGGTTGTTCTGGGTTTTTCGGGCTCCTTGGCCGTGTTCTGAAGGTTGTTCTTCCTTACGTTTCGCCAGTCTCTGTGGCCGGCATCTTCAGAGGACAGGAGTAGCACTCTGTGCTCTGGTGCAGTTTGTTTGGGAGTAGAGTATGTATGGCTGTGAGATCAAAACCCACAACAACCATTAGATCCCGGCCGTGAAAGCCTTCGCGAATACATTTAATGGCATTGTCAAAAGTGAAGTGTTGTTCTGGGGAAATAAATCTTAACTGCTCAATGAGTAGTGTCTGAAATGGTTTTACATCCCAGGGATTGGTCTGGTGGTAATGAAAAAGCTCTGAAGTTAGACGAACTAGGATCCCAGTGTAGTTCCTCAATACAGTTACACTTGAACATTCTGGGTTTCGTAGTTTGGGCATGAAATGGTCAATTATTTAACTAGGCCTTGATTCTTGAAGGCAGAACACCATTTCAACTGGGAGTCAATATTGCCTGGAGGGGACAACTGAATGCTAAGCATAAATGTGGTGAAGCACTCTCATGCTGTAGGATAATACTAGCCTTTGTGCTTTCTCAGTTAAAAATGTTCAAGTAAGTCTTAACAAATTTCCCTCAAGGGTTACTGCTCCTTGGTAAAATTGTAATACATTCTAGTACTGTTCCTATAGAAGAAGGCATAGAAAGGAAATCAACCTTATTTATAAAAATGCTAAAAGTAGGATGTGTCCTGCTTAATCTGGAAATTCAGTTTTGTTGGATGAACTAGAGAAGGAAGCTCTGGAAGTTGGGGGGCCTGAGGCTTTGTTCAAGGTTAAGGCCAAACTGATGATGGTGTCTGGAGGGCCTACCTGTAGTTAGCTCTGTCCTGTTCTTACACTGTGAGAATTCTCTGCTAGCATGTGGAAACCAGTGTCCTTGGAGACCCCGAAGTGTGTTGTGCCTCCTTCAGTGCGATCCATGTGAGACGAAAGCTGCTCTTGGCTAGTTCATTTGTGGAAATAGTCCTGTATTTCGAGGTAACTCTTTTGCTCATGTCTGCATCTTCTCTCCCACAGAGCTCCATTCTGGTGGCTACAGCAAACCACTGGTTCATTGCTTTTGACAAAGTTGGGCAAATCTAGGGTCCTTTTGGACCCTAGGAGAACTTGGACTGAATCTGCATTTTTTATATTCTGGGGGGAGGGCCTACCTGTCTCCTGCAACTTGAGATTCTGCTTTCCAAAAGGGAAGGTAGTTAGCTAAACAATACTCAGATTCATCCAGCTGTCTCTGCTGTCAGTTTTGTCCAATATCTTGTAATGTGCCTTGTGTGGACTGCTACTTGGGAACGTCTTTCCCTGTGCAGTGTGGTTTGGGTGCGGGAGGCTTCTGTTCATACTTGTAACAAGTTTTCCATTTCTTAGTGTTGGCCATGGTTCTAAATGGGACAAAAATGTAAACATAGTAATATGGGGAATCTCCCAAGAGCTAGATGAATAGCATCACCCAGGCCTGGAAAATCCTGTTAGGTCTGCATAATCTGCTGAACATAAGAATTTAAATGCATGTTTTAAGTGATTCTCACTTGTTTCTAACAGGTAAGAAACGATGATGACTGCTTTATCCTGAAAGAAAACACGTTCTCTCAGTCTTCCAAGAAGTACTGAAATGGCATTGTTCTACTTGGGATCCTGAATCCATGCTGTGAAGTAAGTGGATTTTCTGCCCCTTATACTACAAAATACTTAAGAAGTTACCCTTGTTACAAGGTTCACTAGTTTGAGGAGGAGGCCCACACAAGACTACAAGTATCTCAATGTTTCCAGAAAACTAGTGATGCTAAAAATAAGTTGCTCCTTCCATATCACAGGCTAATTGATGGGGACTGTGCTACAGGAGGGAAAATAGTTACAGTGGTGCCTTGCAAGACGGGTGTCCCGTTTAATGACAAAACTGCATTACGACGAACTTTTTGCGATCGCAAAAGCGATCGCTTTATGATGGTTTCAATGGGGGAATTTCGCTTTGCGATGATAGTTTCCCTGTTTCATGAACCGATTCTCGAAAAACGACGATTTTAAAACAGCTGATTCGCGGTTTCAAAATGTCAACCGGGTAAAAAAATGGCTCCCCGCTCTTTTCTGGGACAGATTCCTCGCTGCACAGGCAGCGAAAATGGCCGCCCTATGGAGGATCTTTGCTGGACGGTGAATTTCAAGCCCCTAGGAACGCATTAATCGGGTTTTAATGTGTTTCTATGGGCTTTTTAATTTTGCATTACGACGTTTTCATTCTACAGAGATTTTGCTGGAACGAATTAACGTAATGCGAGGCACCACTGTATTTGATGCTTCTGGTGGTGCACCTGTCTTGAGGGTTTGGCATCCATGTCACAGAAGCAACTATATTATAAAATTACCCAAGACACTGAATGTTGGTAGGAAGCATAAACTTATCAAAAGTATGTAGTCTCGTCTACTGTCTTTTGGGGGAGAACAGCGTAATGACTAGCAGTTGCTTATTTCAGGGCTTTGTGTAACTGGGAGAATATGTGACAACTGGAAGATACTTCTTGTGGAGAGACCAGTTCACCTGTCCAGACAGGTTTGTCTTGAAATTGTATGGCAGCACAGCTGTGGGGCCAGAAATAAACATTCTAGTTAAAGGAAGGGTTTTGTAGAAAAGCTGTGTTTTTAACAATATGTTAATTTGCTTTGCACGTAAGCAGTGGCTTGCTTTAGTGTGTTAATGTAGTTTCTTATTCCCTATCAGGTTGGTGACATTACTGGAATTGCTGCTGTTGAGACCAATGTAACAAATGGCAGCGTAACAAGAAGACTGACATTGTTTTGTGGTTGATGTTGGAATATAAATGCTTACCAGAAGGGCATGTGGCTCATAAAAGTGACCTTAGTTTGGTCCAGTCATTCAGGTAAAAATGGGGTGTCCAGGTTGCTGAGATTCAATAATTGTGGATGCTCATCATTATGTGCAGCTTCTTCAGAAACTATACAAGATGTGTATTAATAGCTGGGGAAAGTTTGTATTGTACTCGGGCAAAGCATACAATGGAAGTCTGCAAAATGAAGACCTTTATAATGGACTGATGTATGTAACTAAGAATATGTCGATTAGCACTGCCCTAAAATGGGGGAAAAAGTTTTAAAAGATCTTACTCTGTACTGTGCTCGTGGAATTTTGGTATTTTTGGTATGGCTTCAAATAAAAGTCGTGATGGAATGAAGAGTAATTCCCTTAGTGTTCTTGTTTGGGTAGTACATTCTTTTAATACATTCACAACAGGAAATGATGCACATTCTCAACTACCAGTGACCCCCAGAGTGGATTTAAAGGCCAGAGTCCAAAGCCTTGAGCAGAATTGGTTTGTGAACATTTTATTGGCATCTATACTTTCAATATTTCTTCAAACATTTATAAACTGCAGAACAGAATGATGGCAAAGTTACATCATTGCTCAGCTGCTGTATTGTTGGAGTTAAACTTCTTAAGTTATGCACGTGAGTTGAGAATTGTATTCATCACATTAAATAGGTTCATGGCTCATCTCACTGCTTAAATTGCCAGTGAAGGGCAAGATTGGAAAGTAAAACCATTCTTCTAATTTTACTTTAAAGTTCTACCAAATCTAAAATGGGATCTTTACATTGCTTTACCCCACCTCATAGCTATTCCCAAGTTTTCCCTTTGCCTCACCAGTGAACATGACCCCAGCTGTTGAGGAAAGTGCAGCTTTGCATTACCTGCACATGGACAGAATTTTGAACACTTCAAGTTACATGTATCTTTTTCCATAGTACCTTTATTGTGGAGGTAGTTGAGTGATATGTCCTGTTCAGTGTCAATAGTATCTACTGAAGTACTTCAGCAGCTTGGTATATAGGGCTAAGGAAAAGATCTGGTGAAGTGGCAAAATCCTATATGTGAAGTTTTGTTAAATACCAGAGGCACTAATGTCTCCTGAACAGTGTCTCTTCTTGGCATTTGTGTTCACAAAGCAACGTTGTTTTTACAGTACTCTAAATCAGTTTTTCTCAACTTACTCCTTTTGATCTTTGTAACATCAATTCTGAAGAAATTTAATGAGCGTGGCAAATGGTCAGGGATTCTAGGAACCCAAAACAAAGTGTTACAGGAAAAAAGACTTCTAAAAGAAGCTACTCAAGACAAACTTTGAAACAATACACCTAGTATGACTTGCTCTTTAATTTTGTTCAGAACTCTGCCATTTTGGAATGTTACAAGACATTTGTAAGGGTGGGAGGGATTTGATTATAATATTTAGACTTTCTAATGTTAGTGTTACCTGTTCTGCCAGGTAGAAATTCCAGGTTTTTGTCTGGGGCAGGTCAAAGAGTAAAGGGGCAAGTTATTTTAACGGTGAAATTGCATTCTTGCTCAGCTCTGCAGTTTATGAAATGTCTGCTGAAGATTTTAGGGTTTTTTTAAATGTCAAGTCTTACTTGTACACCACATGGACATTCCTTAGGGTGAATTCATGGAGATTAACAAACCATAGAGGGAAGAGAGTCTTAATTACAGTTTCTTATTTCTTGGGTGCTAGTTCACCTAATCCACCTCTGAGGACATAAAATGAGCAGTTAACATTTAGGCTTTTTATCTTAAGGCTGCCATTGCTTCCTGCGAAAAGATTACTGCTTCTACGTGAGCTTTTGTTTGTTTTAACTGGCTGGTGATATTTTGGTGTGATGTGGAAACTACTTAAAATTGCCAGCTGCTGGGTTGCCCGGAACATGTACTCCTCTGCTTTCAGAGTTGAGTCTGGTTAGGAGTTGGCTTGGAGAGTGCCACGGAATAGCAGGGATTTCTAATATGGCCTGGAACCTGGGGGAAGCTATTGCTGCCATTCAAGAGCTGACAATGCTAGGCCAGATGGATTGGATTAGGCCGACATCTGACTCAAGATAAAACAGCCTCCCGCGTTTAGAAAAGAGATTTTAAGCGAGGTTGGATAATTTTGAGGCCACAGGACTGCGTGTTGTCCTGATCCACGTTTGAAGCTAGTGTGGGGTGGCGCGGGACTGTACCTTCTTCCGAAGCCAGAGCGCTCCTCCGAACGAGTTTCCCCCATATTGCTTTAATTAGAAGAGCCTGCTTCTCCGCTCCCGCCGCTCGTGTTGATACAGTACGACCCGCAAGGCGAATTTCTGCGCATGTTTTAACGGAAAGGAAGTCCTACGGAGTGGAGCACGTTTTGCTCTCGGGCATAAGAGGTTTCCGCCTTTTCTTTGTACAATCTACGAACACTCGGGGGGGGAAGGGAGGGAGGGAGTGTGTGCGCGCGGCGTGAAAGGAAAGGCGCGGAAGATGAATGGGGACCCTCGGGAGGGGCGCTCGGAAAGGCCCCCCTCCCCCTCTCCTCCCCTCCCCTCCCCTCTGCACGGCTAAAGGATAAGAGGGGCGCGGCCGTTATTGTGACTAAGCCCCGCCTTTATAAAGCGAGCCAGTCACGACCCAGGAGCGACGCAATGGGCGTGGCCTCCGCGCAGCCTCGGTTTCATTCCGCTCGTTCGTCTGTCTCTCTCTCCCTCTCTCGCCGCCATCGTGGTCCTCTCTAGGCTTATTGGCCAGCGGTTCTTTGTGCGTCTATCGCTCCAGGACCCGTTTCGGTGAGTGCTTTTGCTGGGGCGGCGGCAGGAAAGCTGGGGGAAGGAGGCTGCGTTTAGTAGAGTTCGAGAAGAACCGGGAGGAAAGGGTTCAGCCTCAACCCCAGGTGGGGAAGGGTGGCGGGAAGGGGGAAAAGAGAGATGCTACTCAAAATGGCGGTTGCGGCGGCACAGAAAGAACAACCGGGCTCTGTGCGCATGCGCTCAGTTAACCCCACGTCTCTGCACTAACGGGCGCGTCTTTGGTGGGTACAATTCGAGAGCGGGGGGGGGGAGAACAAGGACTGGCCAAAAGAGAGGGTCGAAGGTTATAACGGCAGTTTAGTTGGGAGTGCCTTGTAGCGGGGAAACTCACGCGTGGGCGGGAGAGGCGGGAACCCCTGTTTACTGCGCATGCGCAATTTCGTTGACGCGGGACGGTGTGCGCATGCTCCCTTTTTGTGCCTTTCTGTCGAACGTGAAAAGCGCTGCGCTCGCCTTCCCGCATTCTGTCGAGACCACGTGCTCGCGGCCATCTTATCCGGGAGGGGGAGGAGGCGGGAAAAGAGGAGGGGGCGTTCTTCCTCCTCCCTTTCCCCCTTCGTTTTTGTTTCTTTAATATTGTTATTTAGAGGCTGTGGAAACGCTTCGCCTAGCCAAGTCCTTGCAGGGGAATGCAGGATCCCCCCCCATCCTTTGGGTTGATGAGATCGGCGTCCTGGGTCGACTGTTCTGATCGGCCCGGGGTCTAGAAGAGCGTCTTCTGATATTTATTGTGAGACCAGGCCTCATTGTTTTTCATCCCTAAGTTACGAAACCTGGCGGCCACGGCGTCTAATTTTTACACTATAAAGGCTCTAAACAAAAATGAAAGAGAGAAAAGGAAAGCCTGGTGTCATTTTCGTTTGATCTGTTGGCTTCTTCCAAAACGGGATACAGAGGGCCTGTTAAGAGCTTTCTGGGCTGTAGGTTGCACAGACCAGTCCTACGCATGTTTTTATTTAGAAGACTCCCTGGTATAAATTATTTATTTCACTGGATTTCTTCCCCGCCCATCTAGACCAAAGGTCTACTCTGGGCGGCATAATAATGCTTAAAAGAACTGTCGTTCTTTATTCAGATTTTTCTTGTAACATAAAATAATACTTTTTTGCAGCTGTGATAGTTTATAATCAATAGGTACATTTGAGTTCAAGTTAGGATAATTATAAACTTAAACACCATGGTACTTTTTAAAAAGTGAACAATAACACTGGCATTTTAAGGCCTTGGTTTGAAATGTTCAGCTGCTGTAGTAGAGAGTACGAAAAACAACCTCCCCATTTGTAAAGTAGTGTAACCTCTGTTTTCACATTAGTCGTGAGACTTGGAATAGTTGTTACCTCACCTGATGATATTCCTGGCTTGGTCATGCAGGTGTGGTCTCATATCTAGTTGCAACTGGAATGATGAAGAAAGTTGGCTAGAACATTTTGGTATAAACTTGTGTTAATTTTAGCCTACTTTCTGAGACACTTAAGCAAGTCTGCACAGGATTTTGCCCTTGTTATTTTCACTTCAATAAACTAATAGTGCTCTCCTTCTCTGAAGTATCTGCACCACTAGAAGATGACTATACCACAGGGTGCAAGAGATTCCTTACACAGCCTTGAAAGCCCACAAAACATGCAGACTTTTTAGACACACCTGGATTTGAAACACAATTTAAAAGCTTGTAATCTCATATCTTTAATGAGAATAATAGCTGCTTTTCATAAATATATCTGCAAAAGGGGGATGGAGGCCTTATTTTTAGTGAATCTTTTAAAAACCCTTTCCACTAGCAAAAGGGAGTAGGTATGTTTCCCATTTTTTAAAACTCAAACCAAGGTATACCACCCTGTGTGTTTTTATACAGAAGTAGACTATAATGTATTATTTGGTACTCCGTTGTTATATGCTGTTCAAAACACTTTATATCGATTCTTTCAGGTATTCAGCAGTGAGATATTCAAAGTAGTTTTACCAGTTCCATTCCATCAGTGAGTTTCCATGGCCAAAAGGGGATTTGAACCCTGTTCTCCAGAAGCTTAATCTTGTCACTGAAGGCTGGCCATTCCGGGGTTAACAAATAAGCATTTTATTATTATTGTATCTCACTTCATACACCGCTTTTATTCCCATTGCTTCTTCCACAACGCAGCAATTGTATTTAGTTTCAATACAACTTAATTATTGTAACGTCTTGCACACGCATACTTGTGTAACTTTATGTATCTTTTATCCATACATATGTATCTGAATGTATCTGTATCCGAATGGATCTGTATTAGAAACTGCTTTTACCGTAGACTGACCCTGACTTGGATCTCTTCTCCCGACCCTTGCCACAATCACACCAGGGTGCTAACTACTTTCACTTCCCAAAACAACAGGCCTGCTCAGAGGGCAATTAAGGAGATAATTGGCACCCTTGGTATGCGTAGGGAGGAAGCTAAGGCACTTCCATTTTGACACCAAGGGAAAAGTTGTTACTTGAAGGCCATATACAATGTAACAATAAACAAAACGACAGAGATAACGAATATCTGGGTACTGTCAAATCAGACACATAGTCGCCATCTGAGTAATTCATAACCTTAAGGCCAAGGGGGCATGCGTATCATATGCATATTCAGGTATAGCCAATAAGTCAGACCCACAGAACATTTAGGGCCAATGGGCATAGAGATCCAAAGTTTCGGGTTCAGGACACCAATCAGAATCTAACTGTTTATGGCCCTTTGTGTGTATCCCTATAAAACATCTATGCACCCGTGCTTCGGGGCTCTTCTCTGCTTTTAAGAGATTGGGCCCTAGCTGTGTAATTTAATAAATAATTGGCATCCTATACAGCTGGTTGTCTCGTGTCTTAGTCTGCTGCCTCTGCTGGAGAATTGCCTCGATTTTCGGGGTTAACATCACTCAACCCACTCTGAGATTTTCTTCCATGTTTTCTAAATGTGCATAGGAATAGGAAGCCTAAATCTAGACAATAAAGGTAGACTGAAAATAAAGGTGGATTGAAAAATAAACAGCTACAAATACAAAGAACAATTAATCTTCCTCATGAATGCTGTAAGGCATGTAGAAGAAGATAAAACAAACTGGCAGCACTAAACTAACATAAATTTTGGAGGCCTAGTAGGTGCAGAGCATACTGATATTAAAACAGAGACCCAAGGCACAGAAATAACACTCTGCATGAACACTGGAAGCAAGAACATCATCTGATTTTCTTTAAAAAAAAGATGCCTGCTGAAAAGAGGAAATTTAGCCTGTTTTCAGGGGTCACTTCTAGACATGAATCATAACCACATATCTTGTTGAGAAAAGTAAATGGGTTATTAGATTGTTAACACACCTCTGGTTGTGCATTACCAATGTAGTTTGTATTCCTTAACATATATAAACAAATAGTCATCTTTCTACAGATCCCCTAGAAAATGGCATCAGATGAAGGAAAACTCTTCATTGGAGGACTCAGTTTTGAAACCAATGAGCAGAACCTGGAGCAGTTGTTCTCCCCCTATGGAGACATTGCAGAAGGTGAGGCTCACCAACATCACGATTTATGTGATTGGGTGTAGGGATTCGTGATTGCACTTGAATCTCATGTGTTAAGTTACTTGCACTGAGGCTTGCTTGCTTATTCATATTCAAGTAGATTTTTTTTGTACATGCAAAAGAAGCAGGTGTGGCCACAGATTGAAGTTTAATCTTTTGTGAGGCATGCTAGTTAGTTTTGAACATGAGATGCAATACGCATTCCACCGCCTGATGATATCCCGTATTTTTGCTGCTGATGCATCCTACACACCCAGGTGTCTCCAGTTTCTTACAAAGCGTGCACTCTGTTCCATGGCATAACCAGTTATGATTGGTAATGTAGTAGTTAACATGACATAACTTCTTTTTTGTTCATTTTCATTAGAATAGTTTAAACATGTAATTCAATCCCATAGTTCACTATAAAAGTATTTTTTCTCATCCTTGCATGCATCAAATGCATCCAAACTTTGACCTGCTCTTACCTGAAATTTCTGACTAAATTCTTCAGAGAATTGCCTTTTTTGTTCTGCTTTCTGACTACCACAGCACCCCTGTCAGTCCATTCTATTCCTTACTTTTACTTACTGTCTTTAACATTTAATTGTCTGAGAGCACTATAAAAGTGTTCCTCCACCCTCTGGTGTTGGCATGATGTCTGAATGGATTGATACTTCTTCCTTTTGCTCTAAATAGTTTTGGTCATTTATTGTTAGCAAAAAAAGAGCTGCAGTTTCAGGTCAGTGGCCAACCCTGTTGCTTAGTGCAACTTTCTGAACTCACCGCCCCCTCCCCTGGATAAGAGCCATTGAATCTATGGCAATTCAACAACCCCTCTGTAAGGTCCACTCATTCAGATGTTCTACTCTAAAATGCAACTTTAGCATGGTAAGTTAGAATAGGCCTACTTGAATCAATGGAACATATAGAGGAATTGACTCACAAAATTCCTACTGATTCAGTGAGCCTACTCTACTGCAATTTATTGTGCTATGCAACAGGATTTCAACCAGTTTGTCCCACTAATAAAACAGCCTCTCCCCAACTGCCATGTTTTCTACCTAAATTTGTCGCCATTGGTAATATTAGCTGGTGATGGGAGTTGCTGTCAAAACCATGTTGAGGATACTGATATGGGGAGACTGTTTTCAACACGGAACCATAACACATGTATGTTTGGCTGAACCAAAGTGGTTATAGTAGCTCTCCAGAAAGTCCAGCTGAAAATGTAGCATATGGTTAGAAAAGGGGATTAGTGACTTATCACCTGCATGTAACTAAAAAAAGGATAGAGATATTTTGTAACTAACGGTTTGTATCTGTTTTATTTCCAGTGGTTGTGGTGAAAGACAGAGAGACTCAGCGGTCCAGGGGGTTTGGTTTCATTACCTATTGCCGTCCTGAAGATGCTAAGGATGCCATGAGAGCCATGAATGGAGAGGTGAGGACTTTAGTTTATGCCTATATACAGGTGTACCTTGGTTAACAAAATTAATCCATTCTATGCGACATTATGTAATGCGGAAATTTTGTAAACGAACCGCCAATTGCGCTAGGAAAGGGGTGGCACTATAGGCGTAATGCGCCCTGAGAAAACCCTTTCATATGGCGGGGAAAAGGAAGACAACACAAACTGAGGCATTGTTTTCTATGGCTGCGGCGGGGAAAAGGAAGGCAACACAAACTGAGGCATTGTTTTCTATGGATTTCGGTATGTAAACTGAGGCATTCGCAAACCAAGGTGCCACCGTAGATGCTCATCGTGTCTTTATGCTTTGTGGGATTCTCTTCACAGTTCTATGACGTGAAGAGCAGTCAGCTCTATTTTCTATTTCATATTTCAGTTCCCTTTCTGAGTGTTTCAGTAAGTCATATAGTTCAGAGTAAGTGGCGCCATCAGCCACTGCTGTATCTGTCACTTAAAAGCCCAGCCTGCAGAAGAAATGCTTCTAGGCTCCTTTAGAAAGCCTTTGGACCTTGGGAAGACTTTGAGAATCACAGCAAAGAGGCAGGAGCCTTAAATGTCTGGAAATTGCCACCGTAAATGTTTGAAAAATGCCTATCTTGGCAGGCACAGTGGTAATTTCCAGACACTTCAAGATTCTTTGGTCTTGCTGCCCCTAAAGGTTTCCCCAGGATTTAAAGGAATGTTGGAACCTTTGGGCAGGTGGAGAAGTTACTTTTGATTATTGAAATAAGGCTACAGATGATGATGTGATCAGACTTTTGTGGCATAACTTTATAATACTGGATTTCCACCAATGATACTTAGCAGCTTAAGTACTTAGTTCTGTCTTGCTGAAGTGGTCTCTGTGGGTGAGTTCCATGATGTTCTTCTGAATTTTAAAGAGGAAAGAAGTAAATAGTTGTGCATTTATGTTTAACAAATTTTTCATACACATATATTAATTCAAGCTGAAAAGAAGATTGTAAATATTTTAACACACACTGTTATTATCCTGGACTAATAAAATTCAGTCAGTCTGAAGTTCTACAGCTAATGGGTGAGCAAAGTGAAATGCAGAGAATGTCATTTTTAATAATGAACATATTTGGCTGTCTCCCCACCACCGTTTAGAGAAATTCAGTGTCTCACTGATGTGTAGTCATACTGAGTGTGGTATCCATGTTTATTCAGAAATTTTGTTGAGTTTGCATTTTAAATGTATGTTTTATTTGCTAGGATGCCTCCCTCCCTGAAAGGCATGTTGGAATACTATTTTATGGTGGCCATTGTTGTCTTGTATACGGTAGTTGTCAACAGAAGAAGCATTTATTCTGTTTCCCTAGTTGCAGGGAATCCAGAGAAATCTACAGTGTATTTTCAAAGCTTTGAGAACATGCTAGAGAAACTTCTGGTTTTTTTCTTTGAGTTGGTGGATACAGTATACCACTGTTATTGGTTAACGCTATAGCTATGACTTTCTGTTGTTCTTACAGTCTGTCGATGGGCGTCAGATCAGAGTTGACCAGGCTGGCAAATCTTCCCGTGGCTCTTCTGGAGGAAGAGGACGTGGACGTGGATTCTCCAGAGGTGAGCTTGTTTGGGGCCTGTCGTCAGTGCTAGCTGCTCAGGTACATGGGACCACTCTGACTTAATGAGTCCTTGTATCTTTGCCACAGGCGGTGGAGGATATGGAGGTGGCCGTTACGACAACAGAAGTGGTGGCTATGGTGGATCCAGAGATTACTATGGCAGCAGGTGAGCCCAACAGGTGGAAAACACAGCCCTTATAAAAATGATCACGTGGAAAATATTGAATGCTAAAAAACTGAGCTTGGCCACACACTCAGTGATTTGGTGAGGATGAGTGAGAAGCACCTGGTTGCTGCCACTAGCATATTGTGCTATCTAAGGCTCTCGTACTGCCACCCTTCATATATTGTGTTCTGTTTTAGAATAGCAGAATTTGGAAAGAGATTTTGAATTGTTACTTTTGAGCTTCATTTCAATTCTCCACACTTGGATGCTCTCTGATGAATGTCACCTTTCTTTGGGTAGCTACAGAAAAAGTCGTGGGGTTGTTTTGTTTTTGTCTCTTGGGAGGTGCATTGAGCCAGCCATATGCAACTGTAGATATTACAAGTTCTGATTTTAATAGTCAGCTGTGTCTTGTAGAAGAAGGGCACATTTTAACATCCATGGCTTTCTGAGTGACATTGTTAAATACAGCAAATTTTGCATAAATCTGCTCACCCAGGTGAACATCAAATTACTATCTTGTTGTGTATCCTGGATCTTGTGTGCCATTCTAGTTGACTAAGTTCTTCCTGGAAATTAGAGAGTGGTAGCTTAGAATGTTGCTTTCCAGATAACTTTCCTTAGGGGGTATAGGAATTCATTACACTTTTGTTTCATTGATAGGAAATAGTTTCGTAAAACTTGGCATCAGCATGATTTTAAAAAATAAGAAAACTTAGGTTCAACATCTGTTTCAAATACCCTGGTTTTAGTAAATTACGGTTTCTTTTAGAGAAAGCAGACAGATACAGTGGCATATGTAGCCCACACAACATCAATGAACACCTTCGAGAAACTGGAAAATAATAGCAATATTGCCTTCCTTTACCTACTTATGTAGGGATATAATGGCTTACCTGAAAGTGACATAAGTAGTGCCTAGCCTTTTTATGTTGTGAGTTCACCATGTAACTATTTGTTTTAATCATCTTAGTTGCATACATGGTTTATCACAAATAAAGTTTGTAAGGAGTTTCAATTATATTTGTTTTAAAAGCACTTATTTTGTAGAGCATAGAATCTAACTAGTCTAATAGGAAATGTAATTTTTTTTTCCTTCTCCAGGAATCAGGGAGGTTATGGGGACCGTTACTCTGGAAGCTCCTACAGAGACAACTACGATAACTAGGTAAGTAGGTGTTTTTAAAAGGCCCCAGTGGGTTTAAGTGCCATTTGCTCCTGACCTGCACTAGCTACTGAAGCATAGTGCTCTAACCACGTAGTCTAATTTGCCAGCAGAATTCCTGTCATCAGCGGTCTAGCATAAATGCGGAGAACTGGCCTGCTGCTGGAGGGACACAAAATGGGACAGTTAAACCCATCCACACAAACTTTTCGTAAAGAAATATTCTTGGGCCAGCCTCTAAAAATCATGATCACAACCTTTATGCAATGGAACTTCCTCCAAACCGTAAGTTTGTAGGAGATAACACTGCCACTTTCTTAATAGGGTGTTCTTTTCTAATTTGCATATATGCTTGAAAAGTACAGTATGTGCAGATACCCATATTGGCATATAGGATAGAGTAATAGGGAAAATGGAAGTTCTTGGAACCAAGGGTAGACGGTTTAGCTCCCCACTGACCTAACCCCAGTCCTTCCTGAATTCAGTTAATTGTATTGTATCCCAAACAATCTGCCCTGGCCTGGGAGGAGGGAGTAAGTGTATGTACCGGGTTTTTTTTCAGTGTGCTTTACGATTTGTACCTGCTTCTTGTCCTCAGCTTGCGCCGAGCATAAATCCTTCCTGAATCAAGATCGTCCTTCCAATGGCCGTATTTATAAAGATTTTTGGAGCTTCGCTGAATCTTGTTTAGTTCTCTACCTGTATCTTTCCTTTTGCAGTCCTATTGTAAGCAGCCCAACAGCTTCTGCTACAGGATGGCCTGTTAAGAGCTTTCTGGGGGGAAAATGTTTTAATTTTGCCATGGTTTTTTTTACAGGTGTGTTTAGGAATTTTGAATAAATACTTTTATTCTCACCCTCCCTCCCCCCCCTATTTCTTTTAACAAGCTAAAATGTGGGCTTTCCCCTTTATTTCGCCTATAATTCCCCAGAGTCTGAGCAAGGTTTGAAGGTCCTCCTTGTTTTTATAAATGCATTAATACCTTGTAGTTTTGTAAAAGTCCTCTGGTGTAGCAAGGAAGGGGTATGGTGGAAGGCAAAACCCCCTTGATCATAAAGGGAGACTCGTGTGTTTGATCTTCAGAAATCAGAATTTATACTGTATGATGTACCTAGAACTTAAGCTTGCAGAACTTGCAAGTTGTTCTTGAAAAAAATTGTTTGTTTATATTTTTTTTAAACTGGAAGACTCACATGTAACTCAATATTGTACTAAAAGTGGTTAAGGAATTCCTGTATTCAGTTCTTTGGCTTCACGAAGCCTATTAAATGCCCTTCTGAAAATGAATTCTGCTCATGACCTTTTAACACTTCAGCCATAGTATCTGGCACACAATTTAAACAGGTGTGTAGATATATAAAAAACTGGGATCTTGAAGAGACATCATGGAAGGATCCTATTGTTTGATTAGGCAGTAATGAAAGATTGGTATTGGTGGTTGAGTTTGGTAGTTGTGCCTTCCTTGGTTGCCTTTGCTGATCTGATGAGCTTTTAGTGAGCTTGAGTTCCCCAGAGCATGCAGTAAACTATACAGAGCTGATGCATGGGTGGAGCTGTGTTTATTTCATGAGATTGCAGCCCCCTCTGGTCCATACTAGGGGTTTGCTGAAAGGTTTCATTTCTAAAAACATGGAATAGGTGTTTAGCTTTATGGCTGTAACAATATGCTTGAATGCAGGGGGGCTCCTGCTGAAATCTTGAAAGCCAGGGCCAGGTTGGGGCAGGAGTATAGTGCTTTGCAGCAGGGTGGATTTGATTTCAATCACACTTCAAGTCACCAGTCTGTAAGACTAAATCATGATTTTTAAATGTGAAGACTCAATTCTTGCTAGTAGTTACAATCTTTCATATTTGCAATCAGATGGAAATTTCATATTTAGAATAATAACCTGTCAGATTAGTAAAACAGCTATATCAGAACAGATTTTAGTTTAATAGATTAATCATTCATATTTGGAGAACTACTTAAATTGTTTTATTTAAAACAGTAATATTTAGCAAACATATTCTTGTATTTGCTTAAACATCAGTGTGTTCATTGTTTGTACATAGATTTGCAGAGCAATGGGATTAAGTTCTATTTCATGCGGAATAACTTTTGAAATATGTCTTAACTAGAAAACGTCTAGATAATTTTTTTACTCCAAAAGCATTTCATAAAAATAAATCTGATTTGTTTGCACATAGATTTGCAGAACAATGGGATTAAGGTCCTTTCCTGAACTTTATTCATTTTATACAATTTTTACTGTGAAAAAGTGCATGTTATCTCAGCTTGAATAACTTGAATTAGTTAACAAAAAATGTAAGTATTGCATGAATATATAGCCTCTATTTCATGGGGAATAACCTTTGAGATAGAATGTTGCAGAGGCCCTTTTCCTTTCCTGTGACTTATTAAACCAAAATAAATACTGCAGCATGGGCACCATTACAAAAATAAAAGATAAGGGAGTATAGGCCAATTGGGCAGGCTTGTATGGCTTACAATGATCAGATTTTTTTTACAATATGGAGAAGAAGGGAGCACTGAGCATAGGAACGAGATGGGTTCAGAATTTCTTTGGTCATGTTTGTAAGTAAATCTCATCTTGTAGTAAATCTTGGTGGACTTTTGAGCACCTGGGATAATTTTTTTTAAAATTCTGAATTGGCAAGCAAGGCAAGCATATCCTAAGAAGGGCTCTTACTGTTCCTTTGCTAATGGAGCTTCCTAATGCCCAATGTCAGGTTGCCCAAAGATGTGTTTTCTTGTTCCTGACATTTTTTTCCTTAATACTTACTCTGACTCTCATAAAGTACTAGGAGTGGGTGTTACTTTAAGGCTTGTTCAGCTGGATAGCTTGAAGTGTTCTTGTTTTATTTCCTACTTTTTAGTTATTTTATTAAAATATTTTTACCCTGTCTTTCTCCTTAAAAAGGACTCGAGGCGGCTTACGACATTAAAAGACAGTATTTAAAGTTTGATTTGCATATGCTGATCCTCAGATGGCTTTTCATACAGTTTTAAATGAAATGGCAGTATAAACATACCAGTTGCTTTAGTAAGCAGCCATTTCCCCTAACCTTAGTGTAGTTAGTCATAAGATACTGAAGATGATAGCTCCGCAGAGAAGGCCCCCAAAGTCTGAAAGAAGTGCATGGTGAAATTTTCTAATGAAATAATTGTAGGTATGAGAAAATACAGTAAAGCTCTTCTAAAAAAATAGCGCAAAGAAGCTAGAAATTGTGTCATTTTATACTGGGGCGTTGGATAAGAGCAATAATTCCATTTCGGTGGCACTAATTAAACATTTGCCCCGTTTCTCTGAAAATAAGACCTAACCTGAAAATAAGCCCTAGTATGATTTTTTTCTGGGTACTGATAATATAAACCCTAACCCAAAATAAGCCCCAGTTAAGTGAAATCCCACCCTCCACTGTTGTGAAGCAACCAAAAGATGACATGACTGTATTTGAATAAATATAGATTGTTATACATGAAAAAATAAAATAAAACACAACACCCCCTGAAAATAAGCTCTAATGCATTTTTGGAGTAAAAATTAATATAAGACCCTGTCTTATTTTCAGAGAAACACTATCTACCCAGAACTTGCTGGATTATTTGAATGTAATTTGCTGAGACATCTCCTCTTAGCTAGTGTACAAGAGCACAGAACATTTAATACCATGCTCTGTAGAATGGCATGTGAGTGATTATTGAAAATACTGCAGGTATTTTCAATAATCACTCACCTTAGTTCACAGTGTAGCCTTTTGTGTTTCCAGGTCCCCTCGGTATTCTGTAGGCTTATGGAGACTCCAGCATCAACTCCTTGGTTCTGCCATTTCTAAAATCAAGGCACTTCTAGCCCTTTATATCTGATCCCGTTTGCTGGTAGAAGATTAAATAAATTCACAATAATATAATATGAACTAACCCCAAAAGATTGAGATTCATATGGAAGGCTCCATTGACAGAATTTAAGCATAGCATGAATATTAAGCCAGAATTGTAACATGGCTTTATTTGGCAGGTGGAAGGGACTCTTCTGGATCCTGGAAGGGAGTTAACCTCAAGGCTGGAGTTGAGGACAGACTTTCTCTTTGGGTACCCCTCTGGAGCTTCAGTCTTGTGCGTATATTCCTATAGTAATTCTCAGATGTCAGGATCAAGCTGTCCAGTAAAGTGGGGTTAGAGTGGAGTGGATTACTAATGCAGTTATGTAAGATTTTGTGCGGTTTCCCTTAGTTCTTCACATACAGCAAGAGAAAGCTGTGCATTGTTAGATGGGTGAGATATCATTACATTGATAGTAGGTCTCAAATTGCCCTGTGAGTTAAAAAGAAAAACATGTCTGCCTTTTAGATCAGCACACAGTTGTCTTCAGCTAATGCCAAGACAGTAGAAGAGCTTGCAGCCTTTAATTGATTGTCAGTTGCATTGAGATAAAAACAGCAGGACCGTTAGGGGTGTTATCAGCAGGGTTTTTATTTGGAATTTTTTTTTTCCCTTTCACTCAAAATACCTGCTGTGACATTGATATGGTCCATCTTATAAATACTGCTGTTTGGTGTGAACTATGCAACTTTCTCATATTTCATTAAGTTTGATTAACTTCAGTTTTTCAGATCAACTGTTAGTCCTAGTAAAAAAAAGGTTTCCTCAAGGAACTAGGTAGACCTGCCAATCATTTTGCTGGAGGCTTTTTGGCAGAACCAAATGGAAACAATGCAAAATTTAATAGAAATTTGTGGAACAATATTCTATCTGCAGAATACAAAACAAGAAGGGTGGGGAACTTATACAGAGAGGAGTAATGGACAGATTTTTCATTTTCCCCCGATAGCAAGAGCTTGGTACATTTCATAGCGACGTGGGGTTGGTGAAACCACAGCAAAGTTCTATGCATTTACTTAAAAGTCCACACTGGCGCTCCAGAAATAGAACTGGTTTTAGTTACCTTCTTCACTTCCTCTCCTGCTTTGTAACTGGCAAAAAATTGAATATATTCTGCATATAGTTGTCTTAGATGGGTTTACTATTGAATCTTTAGGTAGTTAATCTGACGATTACACTACAGGTGAGTTAAACTGCAGGTTAAAAATGCAAATTGGATCAGTTGGGAGGGAGGTGACAAAGATCAGCAGACATGGAGAGTAAAGCAAATTCCATCTCCGACCTTGTGTGAGGACAGTCCCTACAAGCAGGGGGGAAGGATGTCTTTCCCTTGTATGGAAGGAGTACTCATGGTAAGTGACAGCATTACTTTCTGGAACTGGTTGCATTGGTGAAGTATTACCTTCCAGTACAATCAGCAGATACGGGAGGATGACTTCTGTACATCTCTACGACGGTTCTTAAACACCCACCTCTTCCTATTTGGTGAGGTTTGCATTTTAACAGTTTAATTCTGTAGATTGACCAAAACACACTAGATGGTGAAGTTTGTTTTGATACTGAAAAGGCATCCAAAGTGTAGAGATTCTCGGCGGTCAGCTTAGCGTTGCATCTTGAAAGTCAGTATGTGGTACATTTGTTTTACTGCAATGGAACAAGCTCCGAAGTAGCTCAGAAAAGAAGATACGACAGTTCTCCACAAGAAAAATAGAGGAAGCCTGCTGGATATCTCTGTAGCTTTTGGATCCCCCTGCAATGGAAAAGTGGTACTGGGAGAATTTTATTGCTTGGAAGGCAATTCAAAAGTTGATGCTACCAGTCATCATGAATGCTGGTGCTCTCCCAGCTGGAAACAGTATGAAAATTCTTTTCTCCATTTTAAGTTTTTTGGTAGAATAAAGACACTGGTGACGGTGAATTTCAAGTCATGGACATGGGATTGCGGAGGTCAGATAGGTATGTTTGTCTTTGTTTTACCAAGGGAGCATTCCGTTCCATAGTTGGATGTCTCAGTAGTGAAATATTGTGCTTCCTTTCTTTGTTTTTCAGAAGGAGCCAATGAGAGATCCTGAGGAGCTACTGCTACCACAGAGCTTCTTAAGCATTAGCCTTAGCCAGGGCTAATTTTCAGGGGGGAGGCAGGTTATATTATTGCTAAAAAAGATGGTGAAATGTTGGGAATAGACACTTTTGACTTTGTCAAATCATAATTCTCCTTGCCCCATCCCACTTCCAGAGGCAAACAGAAGTATGGAATGACTTGATTTTTCAGTAACAGTGCTGGTATTGTATTGTTGGAAGCCAAACTACACAGGTTTCTTCACTGAGCCGTTTACAGGCCAGTGGCAGCAACACATACATAACATCAAGCTTTAAAATGTTTTGCAAGAATTTTTATTTTTAAATAAATTCCTTCTGAAATTCAGTCAGCCTCTTTCTTCATTCTGAATTCTCTGTTGCATAACTGGTATTGCACTTCTAAAGGTTTTTGAATTACACCCATATGTGGATCAATTTCATTCCGTTTTCTGTCTTTGACTACATTGAGAAATAATGCAAGAAAGCAATGAGAAGCAGGGCAGTGAGGAAATTGTTATTTGAATCTTTCCTCCCCACACTTGGTGTCTGTATCTGCTTTCATCTTCCTTTCCTGTTACAACCTAACAAAGGAGAGAAATAAGTGGGTGGGGGGTTAAGGCAACTATGTTCTAACAGTGCCTTCTCCAAATCTGGACAGCCGGAGGAGAGCAGAAGTAACTGAAGCTGGAAACAAAGGCTGAAGTGGAAACTGCTGATTTGTTTTCCCCCTGCAGTCACCTAAAGAAACAGAATGGAACAGGAAGGGAGGAAACAAGGCGGGCTCAGGTGCCATGTTTGAGGAAATGTTTCAAACAAGCTGCAAACAAGGCCAAGTTCCTCCCCTCCCTTCTGACTCCTGTGTGGTCCGCTGAAGTGAACTAATTTAGGAAAGTTTTGACTTCCCAGGTGTGGTTTCACAGTGGATCTATTCATATTTTTTCCTGGTATGTAGTACCACAGAGACGGCCTTCACTGCCATGTTGAACTATTTAAGAAGCATAGATAAGAATTTGTCCCTGTTGGCCAAGCCTGTCTGTGACTATTAACACCATCAACCAGTGTTAAAAACAAGGACCCGTTTTTCAAGGGGAGGAGAGTCCGCAAGTTGTCCTGACCATTTTTTGTAGTGTCAGGATAAGATTTTGTTATTGGATTTCTGTCCCGCCCATCTAGACCAAAGGTCTGCTCTGGGCAGTTAATAATATAAAAAGGAGGTTACAAACTTGTTGAATCAGCTTCTGGTATCAGATTTTATATTGGGTAATGCGGGATCATCTTTCACATCTCTAAAGAGATAATTGCCAGTCACCTAATTCACTGCATTACCTTGTACTGTGACCTACTGTAGAGCTACTGTTTGGCTGAGAGTACAGAGAGGTCTGGCAAGTCCCATATCAGAAGAGTTACTAAATTTAGTTGACATTCTAGGCAAAACTATATCACCTGTAGCTGACAGGATTATGAAGGAGCAAGAGAAGGATGCAGGCCTCCGATGGGGCTGACCTTAGGCAGTGGAAGTTACCCGTGCTCTGCCCAATGGTGTAAATAATTCTGACTATGTGTTGCATATTGCATAATTTATAAACCTGCAGTTCAGTGCTTTCCAATGGGAAAGAAAAAAAGTTCACCAAAAATTAACAGTCGGATCAAAGCCAAATTAAGTTTGCCAAGGTTTTAGAAGGTGCACTAACGATCCCAAACATTTAAGACCGTTTTTGAACCTTTTAAGACACTTTAAAAATAGCGAAAATGGAACATTGTTAAGTGAAACGGGACCTAAAACTGTCTTCGCTAAGCGAGGCAAGGTCCCGAACATAGCTATGCGAATTTTCCCCATAGGGAACATCGCTAAACGGAACACAAAATCGCTCCAAAAACCTCATCACTAAGCGAATACATAGTTAACCGAGGCAATCGCTAAGCGAGGCACCACTACCATTTTACTGGCAGAAAGCAGCAATGACTTGAAATGACTTGGGGAAAGTGAAAAGAACGCCAACGGAGGACTGCAGTTGAACATGAAGAAGACAAAGATCATGATGACTACAGAGGAACTACATAACTTCAACACTGACAGTGAAGTAATTGACATAGCAGAGGACTTTTTATGCCTTTGTTCAATTATCAATACAAAGGGAGATTGCGTCCAGGAAATCTGAAGAAGACTGAGACCAGGAAAGGCAGAAATAAAGGTATTAGAAAAGATAATGAAGTGTTAGGTTGTGTCACTAGGAGACAAAGACCATCCACAAGATTGTATTCCCAATTAACCATATATGGATGTGAAAGCTGACAGGGAAAATTTGATTCATTTGAAATGCGCTTGATGAGGGTTTCTTGGATACTCTGGCCTGACAAAAAGACAAACAAGTGGGTCCTAGGTCAAATCAAGCCTGAACTATCTCTGGAGGCGAAAAAGATGAAACTGAGGCTGGCCTACTTTGGGCACATGAGAAGGCAAGACTCCCTGGAAAAGATACGCTGGGAAAGATGGGAGGCAGCAAGAAAAGAGGAAGACCAAATACAAGATAGATTGACTCCCTTAAAGGAAGTCAAAGGCTGAACAGGGCAGTTGAGGTTAGGACATTTTGGAGGTATCTCATAGGGTTGCCATAAGTAGACCAGCATGTAATAACAACAATCAACAAATCCAGCAAATAGCAGCATTGTGTGGGCACATTTTACCAGTCTGACCACAAGATTACCATCTGAGACAGTGAAACAGCACAGTCATGCGTGCCCCCCCAGTCACTGCCTTAAAATCATTGGTTGCTCCCTTGCCACCTCCTGTCTTGTTATCTACGTCCTTAATTCAGTTTGTGTGCGTTTGAGGGCTGTTTTACTGAGTTTAGCTCAGTACAAGTTGTTTAGCTCCCCTACAAGTTTTTTATAGTCGTTCTTGCTGATCTGACCTTTCTGATCTATATTTGTCCCCTTTTAAATATTAGCTCAGTAGAACACTCAGTGCAACTATATCAAGACAGCCAGTTTCTTTAGATGTCTTTTATTTCTCCTTCTTTTAGGAAAGGTTCTTTTTCTTGTATCTCTTTTTTTTTTTCCTTTTGGCACATTTCCAGAACAGGTGGAGCCCATGCTGTGTACTGTGGAAGAAAACTCCTGCTGAAGTTCACAGTCCCAGCATAGATAACGCATTGTTTATCAAAGTGATCCCTGTTGTGTAAAAACATGCCATGACATGCATTCAGTATTGTGTATCTGATGTGACAACTAGTTGCAACTGCTGCGCAGGAAGGTACAGGGAACAAGCAAATTCAGTAAGGTGGGATTTGGGCTGTACAGAACAAGTTTGCTGAGGTTGTAGAAATGCTTCTTGTGGAAATGTTTTCTTGCTGCCACTCTGCCAAAAGTCTGTCTTTCCAGATTATACTACAGTTCTGAGAGTCGTCCCCCCCCCAAAAAAAAAACCAGCAAATTTTCCTATCTTTGAATCCGGTCAAATGTAGCTGAGTGTGAACTGAAATTTACAAATTCCTTCTCAAGTTATGATTAATGGTGGAGACTGAAGGGATATGCTTCTTGCTCCAGTGGGAGGAAAGATGTTGAGGAAAGATGGAGAGCGGAGAGTTGGTGACATTGAGAACCCAGACAGACCTTTAAAGAAAAGCGAAAATGCTTTGGGGAATGGACTTTTAACACTGGCTGCTGTCCTTTTTCATTCTCATAATCCGGCAAATACATAGTCTAACCTAGCAAATACGAGAAATACATCACAGAATCAAATAAATGCTGCTTGCAGAATCCAGATAGGACTAGATTGGATGATCTGGATTACCTTTCATGCAAAAGTCTGCTTTTAAAATACTGATTTCTTCATGTCTTAAATCCAAATCCACTCTTGCTTTCTTTGAGAAAATATGTCTGAAAGACCAGGCCAATGTAAATTCAACTGGCTCAGCGTGACGTGCATCACCTCGATAACCCAAGTCCCCCAGAGCTACCAATTGGTCATTTTTCATAACTCTGCTTAGTCCTCGTATGTAATACCAAATTGACAGTTTTAGATTGTCCGGCCACAAATGAAATACTACAATCTAAAAGGTGACGAGAAGGCTCTGGAGATAAGGGTTTATCCATCTTCAAAGGTATGTAAGCCCCATTTCCTGCATATCCTAGATTTAAAAGTTCTGAAAACATGGGTGGTGACAATATCTGGCTGAGAAAGCCAAAGGATTGGGGGGGGGGGGTTTCTGCCCTTACTAGATGGGAAGTGCAGGTGCAGCAAGTCATGGCAGTACCGTACGCTCGCACGATGCCACTCATTCCATCTCTCATAGAAGGAGCTTTCCCCCAAAGTGTGGGAAAAGAATTGTGGGTATACTCGGGTGTCCCCCTGGGCAACAGCATGTAGTCCACAAATCGTTCGGTTCCAGAGGTCTTGCACTGGAACAGCAACAAACTCACTCATGGATGACGACTGAGGTCAAGGGAAAATTTCTGCACGCATCTCAAGCTGACTGCTTCTGATTTAAAAATAATAATCAATTGTCTTGACCTTTTATTTGGTACAGTTTTTAATTTTGCTAGTATTTCATGTGTGTCTATGATTTTGATTTGTGTGACATTCTGATATGAATAAAGAATTTTCTTTTTATTGAGCTCCTCCTTAGAGCCACTTTTCTGCACAACCAAAAAGCGGTAGTCAATTATGTATGCATTCTTTTTTAATTAATCTGACATTTACAGATATTTCACCATTTTTCGAAACATGCTCCCCACCAGGTAACCTCTATTGCTTGGCAGCAACAAAGAATCTGCAACGTCAGTCTTTTTTAGATAAATGCTCCTAAGGTACTTGTTTATCCACAACCACTCCCCCAACCACCAGCATCACCACTTTTCTCAACCACCACCTTCACTCAGTCTCCGGGAAACAACCCTTGACGTAAGAATTAACATTCCTTTGGCAATGCTTCCTCCAACCCACCCTGCAAATAAAAGAGGGGTAGGGGTATCATTAAAATTGTAACTGGCTGCGAAAGGAAGAAAATGAGGCTGCAAATAGGAAGGGTACAGTTCAAGGTATTCAATGAAGGATGTTCTAGCAATGGAATAGAGAAGGAAAGTTGTGGGGAGATGAGAGCAGGAAAAAGATAGCAACTTTGTTTGCGCAAGTGCTGTGTGTCCTAATGATAAATGGTCATGGCATAAACAATGAGGGTGGGTGGACTAAAAACAATGAGAGACATCTGAGGCAGAGCCCAAAGGTGAATTGACAACTTCTGTTTCCTACTTCCTTTCTGCCATTCTGTCTCTTTTCACACCTGCGTCCCCATTTAGTAAGTAGCGAACAGGCTCATTTGAAAGGCCGAAATCGCAGAAGGATTTGGCTCTTTAAACTGCCCACTGCACAAGGCATTGCTCTAGAGTTTGTGCTGCATTGCAGAGCTTCAGTGTCACCTCCTAGATCTGGGATGTTAGGATAGCAGAAGGGAAAGCTCAAATGGGCCCTTCAGATACAATTGTCCTTTGCAGCTACATCAGTTGTCTGAAATAAGCATCGGTAAAGACACTGCAACGAAGAACATCAGGGGCTCGAGAGATCTTTAGAGCCACTCAAATTGAACCGTGGCTCCCTCTGGCAGGTACAACCAGTTGCTACGTCAGCTCTAAAATTCAGATACCTGAGTGGCCTGGAATTTATTCCTTAGGCCACATTTTAAACAAAATGCAATTGAGGGCAGGGGGATTCCTTCAGCGTTCCAACCGAACTGCAGTGGGGATCATTTTGATCTACAGCTTCTTCATGTCCAAGCCAGCATGGCCAATGCTAAGAGAGCATGGGAGTAAAACATCTGGGCGGCCCACAATGGTCTAACAATGGTCTTTCTGAGGAAAGGACTTCACGGATGAGACGCCATCACTCGTATAAAAATCTGTTTCCAAACACTTTACACCTCATTTTGCAAGAGGTGGAAGGCCTAAGATAATGGCCTTAAGATCTGGATGAATAAATATAGGAGGAGATGCTCCTTAAAAGTAATTTTCTGCAAACCTTTTGGGCTTTCATCAGGCCAATGCAGGTGGCATGAGTCCCAGGAGTTCAGCCTCATGCCACATTGTTTTCAATTAATTAGCAATTTTGAGCCATTTTCAAGGTGAGTCCTGCACATAACAGATTTCTGTTATCCAAAGAGGATGTTGCTAGAGGGTGAATACAGGTAGTTGTCACAAGGCTATATGTATCCATGCAGAGGACAGAGGTGGTATATCAGCCCACAGAAGGAGCTGATAAAACTCAAGGCCACCTATGCCTTTAATGAAAATCATGTTTCTTGGAGCATTCTCAAACTACGAGCCTGATGTTTTAGGAGGAATGCAATTCCTCCAAAATGTGCTGTCCAAATGGACAGAGGAACGATCCACCACTTTTTCTTCCTTGTTTTGCGGTTCTTCAGTGATTTCACTTGAGCCTGATGTTTTAGGAGGAATGTAATTCCTCCAAAACGTGCTGTCCAAATGGACAGAGGAACAATCCACCACTTTTTCTTGTTTTGCGGTTCTTCAGTGATTTCACTTACCAGGGAGTCAGCCCTCTCGCTTCCCTTGCTATCTTCTTGGTACATTTCATATCATCTTCAATGTTGTCATCTATGAATTCTTAAGAAAGAAGAACCAGAATGAATTGATCTAGGCAAAATGGTATTGATGTTCATTAGGAAGATGTTGTGGGCCAAAATGGAAGCCAGAGTGAAGAAATGAAGACTATGCCTCCACCTTTATATGAGTCAGCCCTCTCGCTTCCCTTGCTATCTTCTTGGTACATTTCATATCATCTTCAATGTTGTCATCTATGAATTCTTAAGAAAGAAGAACCAGAATGAATTGATCTAGGCAAAATGGTATTGATGTTCATTAGGAAGATGTTGTGGGCCAAAATGGAAGCCAGAGTGAAGAAATGAAGACTATGCCTCCACCTTTATATGGACCTGTCCGATGTTCATTATGGTATTGATGGTATTGATTAGGAAGATGTTGTGGGCCAAATTGTAACCCACTGTGAATAAATGAAGACTATGCCTCCACCTTTATATGGACCTGTCCTGACAAGGGAATTTGGAGTGGTCTGCTTTGCACTTTAAAGTTTCTTACCTTCTGTGTGATTTCTCACTTGAGTGACTCTTCCATTCACACTGGAATGTTTATGGAGAAGGCCCCACGCAAGTCTTCAGATTGCCCGTTCATTTGTGAATAAGGAGCCGGCAGCAACAGCAGCTGAGGACAGTTGCAGTGTGAGGGGGAAACCATGGGGAGATGGAAGCAAGGTTAAACCCCCCCCTTCTCATCAGCTGGGACCATGCTCCCTTGTGGGAACAGAGCCCATGGAACCAACATAGACCATTTCCCTGCCTTTTATCACAGCTGTCCTTCAGGGAGTTGGGGTGACTTTTCCCCTCCTCTGCTAAATAAAGCAGCTTATCAAAATGGCAAACCCTGCGGATATGAATACAAATAGTGACACCACAGATGCCATGGACGTCCATTCCCACCCTCCAGAACTGCCCAGTCCATTCATTGGTTGCTGCATAACATGGTCCTTCGTTGCTATCAACACATCAATCGTGGAAGGTGTCTGGCTGGCTCTTCCCTGCCTCCCTGTGCAGCTGACCACTCATCAGCTGAGTGGGGCGACTCCCCATCTACCTCCTTGCTGGAGTCATCAGCTGTGTAGGGAAGCAGGGAAGAGCCAGCCAGACACCTCCCACAACAACAATGAAGGACCCGAGCACTACGCGGTGACCAGGGCTACAAATACAAATAGCCCATGTCTAATCTGAACCACAACATACCCATGGCGATCCATATATCAACCTATAAGCCAATGTGGACAGCCTCTGTGTCATTGCCTGTGCTGTCACTATATCTCCCCAACCTATTCACCCACATGGATACTTACTCTTGCATGGAATGTGGCAGGCATTCTGGGACTCTGGGGTCTTTCCATCTTCACACCAGTATTTGCTGTTAATTTGAAAGATGCCATAGTTGCGGCTGCTGCCGTTACGATGGACAGCGGCAGTATTGTAAGAACTCTCATGTTGTACCAGGCAGACCCCTAAAGAAAGATACCTTCCTCTAGTTATCTCATGGACAGCATGCCAAACTTGTGTATTCTTGTGTTTATTCTGAACAACAATCTCTGCAATCCAATTCTTTCTGTGGAGATCAGAATAACTAAGAAGACAGCTTCTAAATTTACTTTTGATAGTTGCTTCAACCACTTTCATCAGAAACTGCATGTTTTTCTTTTCACCAGTGGGTAGATTCAGTATTTTCTGTAAGAGAACAAGCTTTACTTGTCTCAGAGTCTCATAAAGAGGAACATAATTGGTCTTCTTGCTTGCATTCAAATCAGGAAAGAAAAAAATGCTCCGAGTCCAGCAGGTTCTCTTTCCTGCACATTCACTGAAAACTAAGATTTTACTTAAGCAGGTAAAATAACTACCGACTTAGATTGACTACTTATTTGTTTCTAGATGTGCCTTCCCTTTTTTTCTTCCTTTCCATTCCATCTCATCCTAAGGGATCTGTTGGCCACTTGGTTTGAAAAATTATTTCTCTCTTTTTAAATTCCTCCCAATGTTCTACAGCTGGATGGTTGTAAAGCTGTCATCTTGTGTTCTTACAACACTTCCACAAAAGCTTTACATCCACTGGAATTTGGGAAAGTTAAAAAACCAAACCGCCTTTCTTTTCGATTATTTGTTGAGATTGTCTTAAGGCAAGTGGCTTCTAGGGCTTAGATCACTGCAGGCAGGCAGTCGAGAAGCAGATTGTGATGGCCTCCAGCCATAATAATTTATATTTCCCCCTCACAAGAAGAGGCCACACTAGTAAGAAAATTCTTTCTCTTTGCTTCCCACCCAATTTGTCACAGACAGAAAGAGGAAGTCTGATTCCTACTGGGATAAGAAGCTACAAGTTGACAAGAGTAAGGTGAATTTCCTGTTGATAAAGGACAAAATAATACTCACAATCAGCCACTTTGTGCTTCTCAAATCCTTCAAAGCCATTGAGCTTCAACTTCTGGGCCAGTTCACATCTCTCGTAAATTTTGCCCTCTGCACTTGGCATACCCAGTGCTACAAGAAGGGAGAGCCCCAAGAACAGAAGTGTCTTCATCTTGACAAAGTTTGTTAGGTATGACCAGTTCACAACTGGCTTCTGCTTTTATTCTTCCGTTGAATGGGGAGGTGGCAGCACTTCCCAAGGACACAAGAAATAGAGCCCTTGCGAAATCTCCTCCCACATCTGTCAGAAATCAGAGTAATACTGGCTACCTGAGGTTTCATGAAAATCCATTGAGGACCTCCCCAATGCAGCCTTGGGATTAGGCCAATCCATATTGCAAATATATATATTTCAGTTATGCAAGTGAGGCACAGACACACCCTTTACCCAGAAATTCAGTGCATTGATGTCACCTCCCTAGTGTTCCTCCCTTGTGATCCATTCCACAGATGAGTCTGAGCAGCTTCAATACATGAGGCACATACGGTTTCAAGGGGAATTACTGGGAAGGAAGAAAACCAACCATTGGCTGGTTTTTGAAGGAGGATGGTGGGTGTCTGAAAAAGAGATGGATGATAGCCTCAGTCCAATGTGTCATTCACATGCTCAGAAAAACAAGATTATGAGGCAACTATAACCAACAAGGCTAACTGTTCAATTTTATCGTGATAAATAGGATATTAAATGGGTGTTTCTTGCATAAGAGTTTAGGAAGTTTAGGAGATAACCGTTACAGTCTTGGCTTTTAAAAACTTCCTTTATTTTTGAAGTATCCAATTTCATCTGTGTTGGATGGTAGAGAATCACTCTCCCAAGCTAGTTCCAGGGCAAACTCCACTGTTGGTATACCCAGGTACTGCTGTGATGATTATAATTTATAGTCCAGCAATCAGGTTTGAAATAGCTCTGTGATGCCCTTTCAGATTATGTGGTTAAGAATGTAATATTATACAAATTCTCCCTCACCATATGTGGAAATGTTTCAGTAAACACTAAGTGAAGGGAGGAAACTTTGGAACAGGCCATATAATTGAGCTATTCACATTCAATTGCCAATACTACAATCCTAAATCCATACAAATGTGTGCATGGAGGTGCAAGTGGCTGAATGTTAGCTTTTCACATACCCAAGGGGCTGGTAGGGTTAAGTTCTTAGGGTGTTTAAAGCTAAGCCAAGAGCCCAACTATTATATGGTATTCGCTTATGGAGTGAGGCAACTAGCTTTGTTAGAAGTTCAACTACCGGTATTTATTTATGCTGTATTTCCAGGTAACTCACTACGTGAGATATTCTGTCCTGTGCATTGCATCTCATGTAGGGCTTTTGTGTATGTACCACAATTCAAGTCTAAAATTGAGGCTACATCTTTACTTTCCTTAATTGACTCAAGGAAAATAGGGAGCCAGTGTGGTGTCATACTTAAAGAGTATTGGAGGGGGATCGGAGAGGTCCTGATTGACATCCCCACTTAAGACATGAGACTCACCAGATTATGTGAAGCTAATCATTTTCTGTCCGCCTGATGTACTTCATATGGTTTTTGTGTAATTAGTGTTGTGGGAGAGGAGGAGTCATGTGCAGTGAAGGAAAGGTGGGGTATAAATGTACCAAATCAATAAATAGTAAAATAAATTAAAGTTAGGTCCATACTAGCAGTGACATTGCATCAGCTTGTTTGTTAAGATCATTCTTCTGTTGGAGCTGTTCTTCTGTAACTGAAGGTGTGGTTCCTACCTACCGGTTAGGGAAAGCACCATGTTCGTTCATGGTCCTTACTATCAGAGAGAATGTTACCGTTTCCCAATTCAGGTGTTTGTATGCACGCCTGCATTCTCAACTTAAACAAGGTTCCAGTTATAGTGCTGATTGCAGTTTCCTCAAATAAATGTAAGAATGGTTATTTTCTAAGGATGTTAAGAATTCTGTTAATGATCCATGTCAACTGAATTTATTCCTGGGCTCATTGTTACTACTACACAGAGCCAGTAATATGTGAGGGACTCTGCCCCCTTTCAGTTATCTAGTTTGAGTCAATGTCATCTTTGATATATAAATCAGTTGCACCTCCAGTGCACCCTATACAGAACCCCTCAAGGCATCTTCTCTTTAGCCAGCATTCCTGGGTTATAGGACTGTAGCTTCTAGCATGTTTCCTCCACCTTGGAGCATTGTCTCCCTCTGCTCCCCCCCCCCAAGTTATTTTCCTCCAAATTGGGGAGGTATGCAGTTTATAAACAAACACCACTACCCAATTGTGGGAGAAGCTGCTTAAGGACCTCCGATGGAAGTGCCCTGAACCCTCGTTCTGTTAAAGCAGTGGTTCTTAACCTTTGTTACTCAGATGCTTTTGAACTGCAACTCCCAGAAACCCCAGCCAGCACAGTTGTATAAACAAACTACCCAATTGTGGGAGAAGCTGCTTAAGGACCTCAGACGGAAGTGCCCTGAACCCTTGTTCTGTTAAAGGATGTGCACAAGAGACTCAGCTGATACCTTGGGGTTTGTTTGCTTGTATCTTCCTCCTGTCCAATTAGTCACTACTCTGGGTGGTGAACAAATCAAAATAGCACAAAATATACGACAAAACCAATAACAAAATTCTGATAAAACAACAGGCAAGGGACATAATCTATAAAAAATAAAATACCTGTTATGAAAAGGGTAATAACTATAGAAAAATTATAGATCCAAAGTACAGTAATGATTGGCAGCAGAACAAGGCAAGTTCACAATCACAAGAAGAAAACCCAATTACTCAAGAAAGATTACTCTGGGGTAAAAGGCTTGTGAAAAGATCCAGGTTTTAACTTGTCTCCTAAAACCAAAGAAGGATGGGGGCTAATTACACCTCAGATGGGAGCAAATATTTTAACTTGTCTCCTAAAACTAAAGAAGGATTGAGGGCTAATTACACCTCAGATGGGAGCAAATTCCAAAGCAATGCAGCCACCACAGAGAAGGCTGAGTTTTGGATTGCAGATTTCCATCCCGCCCTCAGGATAACCACTCACAGCATCCCAGTATGTGAAGTGCGGGTGAAACAGATAGATGTTTTGAGAGAGAGTTGCTCAGATAGGTAGCAAGGCCCTAAATTGTTAAGGGCTTAAAATTCTAGCATAAGCACCTTTAAGTTGGCTCAGAAGCATACAGGCAGGTAGAGCAAATGTGCCAGGACATATGATTGAATTGTGATGTATCAGATACCAACTGGGCAGCTATGTTTTACACTTGCTACAGCTTTCAAACTGCCTTCAAGGGCAGCCCCATGTAGAGAGAGATATCTTGCCAAAGAGAAATGGGAAGGAGATGACTCGGCCCAACCTTTACTACAACAAATTATAGAGTTGAGAAACCACTTGCAACTTACCATGAATTTAGCTAGGGAAGCTCTGGGCAGAGGCCAAGAGACACAGAAGGGTCACTATGATGCTAAAGTCAGAGCTAGGCCCTTTAAGCTGCAGGAACAGGTATTGGTCTTGCTGCCCTCTGATAGGGCTAAATTGTTTGCCTGATGGCAAGAACCTTATGAGATATTGAGAAGAGTGGAGGAAGTTGACTATGAAATTTTGATGCCGGATAAGAAGAAACAAAGACAGTTTGAGTCTGCTTAGGTTATGGATTGACAGGGAAGCCCTGTTTGAGACTACAGAAGGTGATGGTCTAGAGCAGGCTTGTCCAACCCGAGGGCCGCATGTGGCCCAGGTCGGCTCATAATGCGGCCCAGTGCAATTTTTTATATTTAAAAGAAATTTCAAAGTTTCAAGTTACACTGCCGGCGCTTGTGGCCGGAATGCGGCCGGGGCATGTCACAACAGTAGAGGGAGAGAGAGGGAAGGAAGGAAGGAGTGGGAGGGGAGGGGAGAGGGGGCCTGCGTGACTGTACTGCGCCATCCCCGTCAATAGGCGGACCCCCTCCCGGCCCCATAAAGCTGCCGGAGTCAAAGCTGGCAGCCTCTGCTGTCTGAGATCGCAGCTGCCGGTAAGCACGCTTGGAGCGGGGCTGCGGAGGATGGCTAGGGCTGCCCCCCCATGCGGCCCAAACCAAATGTATGTGCGGCCCAAATCAAATTTTCATCTTCTAATGTGGCCCAGGGAAGGTGAAAGGTTGGGCTGCTGAATGTGTTCCAGGTGAGACAGTGAGAGTGGCCATTGATCCTCAGATAAATGAAGTCCAGGAGAGTCAAATTAAACAGTTTGAGCAAGATTTCATGGATGTGTTTTCTAAGATGCCTGGACACACACAAAGAAATGGGAACAGCTCATGGTGCCCAGAGAAGAGGCTGAGAGGAGACAGTAGTGAGAGGTAGTGCCTGTGGAAGCCTTCTTCCTGAGGTAAGAAAGAGGCTCGAGAATGGGCAAGAAAGATCAGGAAGGAGAAAGCATGGCTGGGCAAGGAAAAGAGAGAGGGGGGTAAATGGCAGCGGTCCTCAAGAAAAGGAGGTTACTTACCTGTAGCTCTGGTCTTTTGAGTGGTCATCTGTGAATTCACACGAATGGATTAATCTGCGTCTGCGCAGAGCAGCCTCGGAACTTTCTAGCTCGAGCACATGGTGCTGAGACCTCCCACATGCTGGCTATATCTCAACCCCTGGCACCGAGTGCCTCACAGTTCCTTAGAACCGTCCGCTGCTCCACAGCATGCAATAGCACATGTGACAGAAAGCAGGGAGGAAGGGCAGGAAGTGTGACCACTCAAAGAACCAGAGTTACAGGTAGGTAACCTCTTTTTCTTCTTCGTGGTCTCTGTGAATGCACGCTAACAGGTGACTAGCAAGCTCACTTACCTGGAGGAGGGACATCATGAGATTGCAGAAGCCAGCACAGCACAACCCACCTCAGCCTTAGCCCTGAGATCGAGGCAGTAGTGAGAGGCGAAGGTGGACGGTGTGGCCCATGTTGCAGCCTGACATATTTCTACAATGTCCACTCCATGGAGAAATGCAGCCGAAGAAGCTACTGCCCTCATTGAGTGGGCCTTAACCGTGCCCGGGAGAGGAATCCCAGCTAACTGGTAGGTGAAGCAAATGGTGTTCACAATCCATCTGGAAATAGATTGAGAAGAGGTCAGTGTGCCCCTAGAAGGGCCATGGAACATCATCAGGAGCCTCTTTGAAGTTCAGAAGATGGCCGTATGATGAACGTAATAAGAGAGAGCTCATTTGACAT